TACACTTAATCAATCTAGCTCTTAAAACTCCTTGTATCAAGGCTTCTCTTGATATTGGGCTTCTCAATGCCTAGCCAACCCTTTCCCAAGGTGGAGGCTATCAACCAAGGAATGATCTCAGAAACAGGGGGTTAGCCAGTGAGAATCAAACCTTGGAGGCTATAGGATCATTGCCCAAACTAATCCATCCAACCCCTTAGACCTCTATGTCTAGAGCAAGAGATATTGGAGCTCTTAGTGGATCTTTTCCAGCGAATGCCATCACTTTCGTGTGGGGAGTCGCCTAAGGACTTACAAGCCAGGGGTAGTGGTCATGTAGCCTTAAGATCTATCCAAAAGAGAGAGAATCTAGATTAAGACCATAAGCTAGAAGGATTAAGCATATGAAACCTCTAATCTATCCCATCTCAAACCCCAATGGGTAACTACTCACTACACATGAATGTAAACACAAGCAAATGCAATAAAAGAGACATCATAAGAAAGAGGAGATGAAATTAAACAACTTTTATTGAAATAAGCAAGTGCAAATACAAGAGAGATTATCCAGGATCTAGGATTCAAGAAGCAAGAGCTTCAAGAACACAAAGATGGGATTAGATCTCTAAAAAGTAAAAGTACAATAAATTAAAAGAAACTAAAACAAAATAATCTAAAGCTTGGTGGTTTTTTCGTGGCTAGAGCCTTTAAATACAAAGAGGATTAGGTTTAGGGTCAAAGGGAAGTCAAGGGGGAAGCAACATTACGCTCAAAGCTAAAGTAATACATGAATGAGACAATACATGCATTACGCTCAAGTAATGATTGAGGAACGTACATCAATGTATCACTCTACAATGACGAACGAAAGCTGAGCCCATTGGTATAAAAGACATAGGAGATTGGAACCACGAAAGTGGAATAATCCTTCCTTAGTGTTTTGAGTTCAAACAAATCGGATTTTAACAAATTTTTCAATCGACTTGCCATGTATTTTCAAAGAGGTTTTCTAATGATTCAATAGTGTTGCTTGTATAGAATTGCATTATGTTATTTGCTTCTTTCATGAGTTCTCAACAACTCAAAACCCTTGCATCGTTTGATTTAGCTTAGATCTTTAAACTACATGATTGTGTAATGTGTGAAATCCAATCCCTTGTGGTTCAACCCCTAAGTACTACAATTATATGTTGTGCACTTGCAACTCTAGTTGTTCTTTAGGGATTTATTTCTTGTACTCATCCCATCTAGACGCCCATCCGAACCCCAAATTTTTAGATACTTTACATAAGTGTGGGAAAATGAATGATGTCAGTCCTCATTTCCAACTGCTCTATCTAGCATTGGACTTTACGACATCTTTTATACCCAACCCAAGACAAGAAGTTCCCCTTATATGGAAAATCAATCATTTCACAGCAATCAAGCATGTGTCTTATAACGCCCGACTGCCCATCCCGGTGAGTCACCCACGCCCTCTCTCGGCCTGTGGGCCCTACCCCTATCTGACGGCCGGTTCATTATTTTTGAGAGGCTCTAATGACTTGTTTACTATCCCTGCAATCAACACCCGACCTTTCCCCGTGTTTTGGCCTCACTCACACGGTTTCGGAAACACTTCCCGGAAGGTCACCCATCCTTCAACTACTCCAGCCCAAGCACGCTTAACTGGACCTTTAGACCGAAAAGGTAAGTGCACTTTGTTGACATAGGTAGCCAAATCAATTCTCTTAAGCCTCTCCTCATTTATCACAAACCGGGATGTTACAACTCCCCCACTCACTGCGCGCAACGTCCTCGTTGCGCACCTGGATCGTCACCCCCTGACGGTGTGAGTCAAGGCCACTTCAACTTGACTCCACACTCTCGTCTGGGTTTGGCTCTGATACCAAATTATAACGCCCTGACCGCCCCTCCCGGTGAGTCACCCACGCCCTCTCTCTGGCCCGTGGGCCTCACCCCTGTCCGACGGCCGGTCCGTTATTTTTGAGAGGCTCTAATGACTTGTTTACTATCCCTGCAATCAACACCCCACCTTTCCCCGTGTTTTGGCCTCACTCACACGGTTTCGGAAATCACTTCCCGAAGGTCACCCATCCTTCAACTACTCCAGCCCAAGCACGCTTAACTCTGGAGTTACTTATAGACCTTTGACCGAAAAGGTAAGTGCACTTTGTTGACATAGGTAGCCAAATCAATTCTCTTAAGCCTCTCCTCATTTATCACAAACTGGGATGTTGCATGTCTCAAGGGTAAGAAGGAAAGCTTTGATCTCTTGCGCCTTCCGCGCTTCTCATGGTTGCCCACTAACTCATTAAAATCGCCGATCATGAACCAAGGGCCTTGTCGTGTGAGGCTTAGTTGATTTAAACGATCCCATACAGTGTTGTGGTTTTCGATAACCGGATCACCATATACAAAGGACATGAATACTTTTGTGCCTGCAATAGTAGCCTCGATATCTATCTGCCAGTTATCAGATGAAATAATATTCACATCAAAAAAAATAAAAATAAAAATGAGCTAGTCCACCGCTTAACCCTTCAGACTCCATGGTGAATAATTTATTATAACCAAAAGAAATCTAAAAATCTTGCAAAAAGTAATAATTGTTTTTTGTTTCTGAAAGAAAAAAAGAAAAGACGGTAAATAATAACGGTGCAACTCCTCCAAATGCTTCTTCGTCAGATTAGCTCCTACACCTTGAATTTCCTAGAAATTGTATTCATATCTTCTTACTAGGTGGTTTCTGGGACACCACCGAACCTAAAACAGTAGAAGATTTCTTGCTTAGAGCATAAGGTAACACCTCATTACGAGGGAGAGAAGTTGTAGAAATCGAAGGTTTAGATGTTTTACCTGTTCCTGACTTCTTTTTTGGTGAGGGTTTGACACGGAAGGTCTGAAGCTTCCTTGAAGCCTGATTGCCTTTCGTGATAGGACTTGCCATCGGTTTTTTCTTTTGTCCATGTGTTCCCTTGAGCGTCTGTTTTTCATCTTTTTTTGGGTTGCAGTCTTTGCCTCCTGGATCTCCATCTCTTGTTCTTTATCCTGCAAAACAATCTGCGAAAGCTAAGAGAGAGTTTCTATCAAATCATCATCAGATCCCATTTCCTCTCCCAGTTCTTCCCCTAGTAAGTCGTCATTTTCCAGCATTTTTTCATCTAGAACAGAATCCGCTAGCTCGTTGATCATGTTGTTTATCTCAGCCTGAGTGAGTTCTCCTTCCTCTGGTTCCTCCATCAGATCATCAGCTATCGGCGTAACAGCAATATTCTTTTCAATGGGATTTTGTTCTGTGTTGGGGCTGTCAAAGCTCTTTGAAACCGGTGGAACTATCGGGTTAGACTGTTCTCGAATAGTAAGGTTTCCAGGCTGGGGATTCTGTTGCAAGAACTGCTGGAGCTTTTCTGATTTGGAAAGTTCCACCGCTAGAGCTTTTCCTTTCGTCTTCCCGATTGTTTCAGGTTCAGTGTCGCGAGGGTAGGTAATCAGAAGATCATTCGCCTTGGTGCCAATCTCCACTTTGTTGTTTGGTATATCCGTCACCGTTCTTTGGCAATATGCTCTGGTGTCCACGGAACCCCTGTTCTTATCTGATACTCTAGAGTTAGGAGTATCCAGCTGTCGATACCTTGTTTCTTCCTTTTGTTTTGGTCGCCAAGTCTGGTTCTGAGTTGTGTTGTATCTGTTCTCCCTTGGTCTCCTGAGATCCTCTTCTCTGGTGTGATGATAGGATGATATCGAGATCTCCCTTTTTGAACCCTTTCAGAGTTGTGTTCCAGACGCTTCCAGACTTGCCTACCTCTTGAATTATGTCGCTCACTTAGTTGTTGAAGTAGGTCTCTCTCTCTTGAAGCTCTTTTATCACAACTTTGATATGTACTATCTGTAATCCGAGAGTTCGACTCCCTTTGATGGGAACCTGGTCGAGGAACTAAGGTCCTTGACCGGCCATCATGAGAATCCTGAGAGACTGAGAGAGTGGATATGCGTCCTATCTTTAGGTTATCATGCATATCGTTGCATGTTTGCCGAATCAGTGTTGCTCTGTAGGTTAGCTGAATATCTTGCCGAGCTTGTTCTGCACGTTGGATTTTCTTTTCCTCGTGTTGCTCCTTTGTGAGTTCGGGACATGATCCTTCTTCATGAAATAAAATTTTACAAGTGAAGCAATATCTTTGTAAATCTTTGTAGGTCAGCTTGACGCTCCCGGTATCTCCATTTGAAAAGCCCACTCTTTCGTTCAAACTGTAAAGGAGCATAGGCGTTGATCGAGACTTGAAATCTAGCTTTTCTTGCCTCAATGTTTGTGACTGTTCCTAATGCTTCACTGATCTCGGTAAATGTAGGGTTGTTCCAAAAGTGAACAGGAACTCCTGTAATCAACACCCAAAACAGCATTGTGTTTGGGAAGTCTTCACGTGTGAATGGCTCCCACTTTTCAAGTGAGAAACTTCATCGATTAAAGTTCCATGGCCTTTTTGCCAGAATTTTGTTCATGTCTTCCTCATGATCGTAATTAAATTGAAAGCGTTTGTTTCCTAGGTTCACTTCTTCTGCTCTTCCCTCAACATCCCAGATCTTTTTGTTTTGGAAGGAGGTTAATTACCGCATCCATGCTTCGTCCCTCCTGATGGAACATCTTTCCAATCAAGGTAAGTTGAACTGCTCGGAAACCACTGTAATGTCACAGTCGGGGATCGTAATGATTTCCTCTTCCACTACGAGCCTTCTTTCGGCATGGTTAGAACTTCGTCCATGACGCATAGCAGCCGAAAGTTGTTGACTCATCTCGAAACCTTGTGCCTTGGGGATTGGAGCATGTGAATCTGTGAATACGTACCAAGAGCTAGAGGATTTAAAATGAAAGTATCGGTTCTCATAAGCGGTCGTAGAGTATGACTGGATCTTAGTGTGGGTGAAATAGTGATGGCGGTTGTAGAACCAGATCTGAGAGCAGCCTGTCGAAAACTTAGCATAAAGCTAGAGACGGTAGGTATGGTCGTAGCACAGCTAGAGATGGAGCAGCACAAGGGTTGCGATGTAGTCACGTTGGGATCTCTGTAGAACACAGGTAAAAACGGGAAAATACTCTTTATTTGCTTGTGAAGAGGTAAAAGAGTATTAGCCCCCGATAAGTTTTAAGAGGGTTTCACCAAAGCCCCTTTAGTTTTTTACTATGCACATCTTTGGTGTTCTTCTTTATTTGTCCCCTTTGATAGCCTTACATCTAAAAACCTTATAGCTGTTGAAGCAACATCTCTCTTCTTTTCTATTTTCTCCTTTTCGTTTGCATTTGGAAGTTGCAACTTGAATTATTATTTTCTTACAACAAGTTTTATTAAATGCCCTGGTAATTTTAAGTCTGCCCCTAGTAATTTTATGTCTAACCTTTTCTCTCATTGTTTCCAAAAGAAAATTCATTCTTTCTTATATATAGAGTGAAACGATTCTCTTCTCAAACTGTCATTTTAGCAAAAGAAAATTAATTCTTTCTATATATAGAGTGAAGCGATTCTCTTGTCAAGCTGTCATTTTAGCAAAAAAGGATGTTATAAATTCAATATTTCAGCACTCTATTTAATTTATTATATTTTCTTTCTCTTAATAGTTTAATTTCATAATAATTGGCATTTCCTACTATAATAAGTTTAACAAGAATATAAAAAATCATTTAAAAAACAAGAAGAAAATGTATAAATTTACAAAAATTATTATTTAGTAAATTTATTTTTGTCATATTATATAATTTATGTTGATATCAAGATTTTATATAAAGAACACTAATTTTTTAAAATCTTTTGGGATGAAATGAGACGAGATCAGAAGAGACCAAAAAAAACATAACAAGAAAAGAAATGAATCTTTATATATAAGGATATATGAATGTCCGCACAAGCTACGAGAGAATCACCTTGTCTTTAAATATGAGAATTGTGTTTTAAAAAACTGATCTTAATGTATAAGGAGAGGAAACAGAGTACTCTCGCAAGTCTAGAGAACACATAAACAACAACTCTAAGTGTGTGACCCAGCATTAAAATTTGGGAGAATTGGCAATTTACCCCAAATTGAAAGTGTTGTTCATGTATACCTTTACATTTTGTGTCTTGTTGTGTTGCCCTTTTTTTGACATTTTTTCCATTTTTGCCATTCCTTTAATTATATAATATTTTGTTTATATTTTTTCGTTTTTTTAAAATTAAAATTTACTAATTGATTTAAAAAATTAACAAAACTAAACACATTAAAAACTGAATAGACATTCTTCTTTCCTTCCCCCCACAACGGCGCCGGATGCGAAAACCTAATCCCCAATCGAGTTCATCCCCAATCTCAATCCCTTCGTCGTTTAAAGAGGAAGAAGGAGAGGAAGAAAGAGAGGAAGGAAGAACGACGAAGGAAGAACGTGATGTGAAGGAGATGTCGTGGTTTATTTTGGGATAGTTGGAGGAAAAAAAGGAAAGAAAGATTTGAAAAATATTCAGTTGCAATACTTTCTGATGACACTAATTTTGCTAGATCGTGACTAGAAATACGAGTACTACGGATCATAGAAAACATGATTTTAGTAAAACACTACTTCTGGGGGATGTAGATTAGACAAAAACACGTAGAATTTACGAGTAGTAGAAGATACTTGATTGAATAGAATACATTTGGTGCGAATTCTATAAAATGGTAGAGCCTATAAGAGTAGGTAGATATCAACTTTTATATCCGGAAGAAGTATGAATAAGTTATATTATATTATGTTCTACGGAGGTTAGACCTCCGAATATCTTGCAGAAAACGGATTCTACTTTGTTATTTTAGTTTTGTAGAATGAAACTTGAAATATTTTTTTTAATATCATAACCATTTTCAAAAATGTTCAAATATTTTACACAGTGCTGAAATCATTTTTAGGAATTATGGAATTCTTTTGATTTGAAAAAACATTTAGTATGAGTTTATAAATAAGTTGAAGGGCAATCTTGACCAAAAATGACCAAAGTCAAAAAAGGTATAAAGAGACAATAAAGGCAGATAAATTCTATTGTAATTATCTCCTTTCAATTTGGGGTAAATTGCCAATTCTCCCAAAAAAAATTTTGATTTGTGATTTTGCAAGAAAAATAAAAACGCAACAAAAAAAAATGATCTAATCAAATGAAAGGTTTGGCTAATCAACACAGCAAAAACCCTTGTGCCTCTCTAGGTGATGACACATAGGATTTTGAAGGTTTCTAAGAGTGACACATCATTAAAAACAACTAGCCAATGGAAACATTTGGATTAATACCAGTCAGCTAAATTCTTAACCACGTCAGCTCAAAACATAAACAAAATCAGATTTACTCTCCCTAATCATTCTATTTCTCATCCGCTACAATTGATCCTCCTTCTCTCTCTGTTATTCTCCTCCACTCCAATCACAAGCTTTGAACTGCTGTGGAGAGATTACTCAGAAATTTATGGATTTAATTGACCGTTTCAAACGAAGAATGACATTCGCTGGATAAGGAGTAAGCATGATTAGCTTTGGGAAACAAAGCTCTCTTTGTAAACATCAGAAGAGCGTGAAGAGGAGCAGAATCTCAGACCAAAGAAAGTTGTGCGGTGTTTGGTTTGACGGCGGTGAACGAAGAAATGATACGACCGGAGTCGGAGATAAGACTATTTGGGCCTATGGGCTTTTGAGGGATCAAATGTAAGCCTAATCATATTTAAGACTAAGCCATTTTGTTTGTCGTGTTATCATGTATCATCATCTCCTTCTTTTTCACCATTTCTTCTCTCCAGCTAAATAATTTATATGAAGATGATGTTTCGTCGCCTGATTCTCTGGTAAGTTTCCACCGCCATGTCGGAATTACGTTCGAAGTTCGCTTGTCGTCTTCATGGATTCAATCAGCGAGTATGACATTTTTCTTTTTCTGAATATCTATTGGAAATGAATCATGTATTGGTACCGTGATTTGATGTTTATGGTTTGGTCAGAGAGGAATACACAGCAAGAACAAGGAAGTGATAATTACGTTGCTAAAGGATGGAATGCGATTAAGACACTAGGGAGAGTTATACTGCTAAAAGAATAAAAAGGGAGTGATTAAAATTGATAGGGATTATGAATTGTTGTTATAAAGAATAATTTGACAGATGAGAAAAACAAATGTTGAAGAAGATATGATAAAAGAATAAAAAAGATCGTTAGAGAAATAATTTTCAAGAAATTTTATTTTTATTTTAAATGGCATAATATATATCTTAATATTTCTAGAACCTAATAATTATGTTAAAAGAAGAGGATCTGAAAAAAAAAGTTGCAAGGAGAAAATTCGGTTTACTTCGGGTTGATGCATTTGGGTTTCTCTTTTCTATCAATAAAAATCAAACTCCTAATGAAATGCTTTACTTTCCTGTTTTTTTATAATTAAAAATGTAATTTTAATACTATCAAAACCTCTTAGGATAAAGTATTAGTGGGTAAAGATCAGTTCGATATAAAAACTATTCTTCAAAATTTATCCGTAAAATAAAAATTGGATATTAGTTGATAAAGTCTGGATACGGTCAAGATCCTGTAATTATAATTCAAATGGTTATTTTTATAATTTAAAATATAATCACATGGATATAAATATAAAGGTCCTTCGGTATCAATAACACCATTAAACCATTTTAATTTAATAGAAAAGGTTAAATAATATCTTTAATTAAATTAATTCAAACTTAAGAAAAAAATAAATGGCATTCTCCCGCAGCGAAGCGCAGGTATTTACCTAGTATCTGTAATTATTTATGAACTAAACCTATAAAATTTGATATCAACAAATCCAAAACAAAAGTAAATTGTGAATTTAATTATTCATGCTAAATAAACTAATATTATCATTTAAAAACATAAAAAAAAATTATCACCTAGTTCATAAATTACAAGTTTACAACACAGTAAAAAATTGACAATATACGATCTTAGCGATCACAACAAACATTCGCATCTCAGCGTCTCCTCAAGAAGACATGATCAAATTCAAATGTAAACATCATACAATAGAGCATATGTAAAACACTGGACAGAAAACAAACTCAGCAGCGACCACCATAAAGAAAGAAGACAAATTTCCAAATCTTGATACCTTACTTAACGCTGCTTTGCTGTATAAAAGTGAAATCAAGTTTCAGTGGGACGACGACGGATTCTGGTAAGCATTCCGAGCACGAGAGTAGCAAACGTAGTAAAACTGCGAGACGATGGCCGTGAAGAGAGCGAACGCAGCACCCGCCGCGAAAACCCCTCTCCTAATAACTTCACAGCTCGGCGGAGTATCAATGTTCCACATCTTCCTGTACTTTGTGTGGTACGCGTTTCTGATGGACGCCGCGAGCAAACAAGCCTCAGCGATCAAGAAAAACACCCTTCAAAAAAGAAGAAGAAACCATTTGAAAACTTCAAACAGCAAAAGCAAAATCAGGAGATTGGTGTGTTATTTGCTGTTACCAGCAGATGAGGAAGAGAAGAATGGCACAAGCTCTTGAGCCGCCTCGGTTTAGGGATTTTCCACAGCAGAAGCAACGACTAGCCACCATGATAATGACTTGGCTTACGAAGAGGAGAGCGAACGCGCCGGCTCCATAGCTTGTTGCGATGTCCGTGCCATACACACAGTACTCGTATTGCTTCTCCTTGTCCGCTACAACCTTTCCCTGTCAATACAATTTAAGCTCTAAGGTCATGAACCGCATATCATGTATCTGTATCCTTCGAATTCATATCGAATCTGATATAATTTTCCAGAACTACTGCTTGATTTCACAAGGCTGTTGATTCAGATCTGATAAAAAAGGGGGAATCGGAGAATTCGAAACAGATTTCACTAGAAATTCTCCAGAATCACAGATACAGAGTGAGCTAAAAGGAGAATGGAGAATTCGAAATAGATTTCAATAGCTTCGCTAGAAATTCTCCAGAATCAGAGATGCAGAGTGAGGGAAAAGGAGAAGAGCAGAGAAGAGAGTAAGGACTTACGACGCTTCTTCTCTGCTCGGCGGCAATGGCCAAACCAACGGCGATGAGATCGAAGATGAAGACGATTATGACTACGAGCTTCGAAGCCATCGATGATTTTCTCAAAGCTCTTTCTCTCTCTCTCTCTCTCTCAAGCAGTTTTCTGGTGATTTTCTCTTTCCCTTTGGCACAATTTGTTTGAACCAAGAAGGCGATTGTTCAGTGGTCTAGTGGAGTGTTAATTACAGTACTAATTTGAATTTAGAAGAATTATTAGTATGAATCAAAAATGGACAAGATCAAAATGTTTTTAAAATGTGGATTAGTTAAAAGGTCATCGTCTTCTTCACGAAAACGAATTGAATGGTTTAGATCTATAACCGGCTTATCTGGCGACTGCTGTATTATACGCGTCGGTTTTACCGGCAACTGGTACTATCGGTTTTGTCGGTTGTTCTGTCCAAACTTGGTCAATGGTGCGGTCCGGTTCGCAATTAAATTAGGCATGCATAATGAATCAATGATAATCGTGATTTATAATTAGTTGGAGTATAATTTTAAACACCATTAAATCTTGATAGCTTTTTTTTAAGGGTGAATTGTCAATTATAATTCACAATTTGATTTGAAATGCAAAAGTAGACCCTATATTGCATTTAGAGCAAAACTAGTCTTCTGGGCATGTAGAATTACAAACCAAGCCCTTATGAACAAAGAAAAAAACGCTGGTCACAATGTCTGTTTTACCCTGTTTAAAGTCTATATGAAGTCTACAAGTCATGAAGTCTAATTCCTAAATACAACTCAAAATTTAATTTATAAAATTATAGGAAATTGTTTTGATCAAAAAAATTATACATAAGTAAGATTAGAACATTTGGCATCCAAGAAAAATAAACTTGCATAAAAATGACTCCATTTAACTCAAGTAAGAGAAATTATGTTTGTAACCTATTAAACTGCGTGAAGTCTACTCCCGAAGTCTAATATATAGCAAAATCGTAAATTTAAAGTTTGAAATCTTTAAAAATATTTTGATGAAGGTATTTACACATAATTTAAACAAAGACAAGTACTATCCATGAAAAATAAATTTGCATATAAATTGATCAATTTAAAACCGGTAATACAAATTATGGTATAATCCAAAAAATATTGTATGAAGTCTACTGAAGAAGTCTACCAAATAACAAAATCTTAAATTTAAAGTTTAAAATCTATAAAAAATATTTAGGCTTAAAAAAATTATAAATAATCTAAATGAAGACAAATCCTATCTATGTAAAATAAATTTTCATGGAAATTAATCAGTTTATAAGTTTCATGAGTAAACCAATCATCAAGCTTAGTGTTTGAGGTACAATGTATAGGGTTTATGAGTATGATTGTTAGGGTTTAGAGAATTTTGACATAAAAAATTGTTTGTGGTTTGTTTAACGATTTAAAGCTAATGAATTTATAGTTTATAATGTAAATTGTGATTCTATATACATAATTTATGTTTTCTATAGCTTTGATCTCAAAAATTCGATTTAGGGTTTAGGGTAAGTCAGACTTCATCGGTAGACTTCATAGTTAGACTTTGCTATGAAGTCTTTTATTCAAAAAACGAGTGGGAAACGAAATTATTAGGGCGGGAAACGAAATATTTTGGGCGAATAAATTTCTCATTAAAAGTTCAATTTGTAGACTTCACGAGTAGACTTTGTACATCAATTCCGGTTTTTGAACAGAACCGGTCAAGGAAATTATAATTTTTGTTGTAATTGGGTTTAACCAAAATTAGCCGGCCCTAATCGAAAGTGAGAAACCCAAAATCAGGGTTTCACTTTCACATTTCAACCCAAGTCCGTTCCGTTCTCTCTCTTTGTCGGATAGGCGATTGCATGTTCTCTCCGCCCACCGTCGCCGTCGAAGAAGAAAGACAGACCCACTATCGTCGCCGCCGCCTTTTCCCCTTCCTCCTCCGAAGTATACTTCTGTAAGTCATATTCATATATCAGTGATATACGTGTGTCTGTTTCCCTCTACTGTCGTTATACTCACAGTGGAATCTTCTTTTGAACCCTTCCGCCACCGTTGGTTGCCGCTGTCCGTGTTGCCGTTGTCCGTGTTGCCGCTGTGGAATCGAACGACCTATTAAATCGCACCAATTATTCTCTTCCTCTCAGCGCCGGTTAGTTATCTCCCTTTCACTTTTTTTCTCTCTGCTTACGCCCTTCAAACCATGGACTAATCGATTGTAGATCTGTGGCAGGTCTCCGTTGCCGGATAGTAGTATCCGCCGTCGTTGCGCTTCTTAGTAGTATCCGCCGCCGTTGCTGGCCCTCATAACCGCAAAGAATAAGGTAAAAGTCTATTGTTAGGGTTTAGTTAGCCGCTCTTTAGCGGCGGTTGGCTAGAGTAGAGCAGACTTAAAGTACAGACTTCACCTTTAGAATTGATAGACATCATAGTTAGACATTCATATTTAGACTTTATTTATGACCGTGTAAAATTGTAGACTCCTCCTAATTTCTCATATTTTCAATGTGTTTTCAGTATGGACGCCGTGACATTTCCTAGGAGGTTGTTCACAGAAGGAGAAGAACCGGATTATGATCGCAGTGTTGTCTACTATAGCAAGAACACTGCACTGTGGTCTCAAATGCACACCACACTTGAAGATGAATGGGATGAGCTTGAGAATTCTAAGCTGGGACCCCTCTTCAGGTTCACGAAGCTCGAGTTTAATTGGGCATCGAAGGTGGCACAGACTATGCTCACTATGCAAGTAGCATGCAAGAAGAAGTATGAGATATGGAGTGCCGTGGGTGTACAGCCAGTGCGATTTTCTCTGAACGAGTTTGAACACATCACCGGGCTTAACTGCGAGTATAAAGAAGCGCTGACGAAGCCAGAGACTGTTAACACAGACGAGATGAAAGAGTTCTGGCGGAAGCTTGGTGTGAATGAGAAGCTTGGTCCGAGCGTTGACGAACTCTTAGCAGCGTGCCAGTGGGCCGGAGAGTGGAGCAGAGAGGATAGGCTGAGACTTGGTTTTTTGGCCGTATACGCTGGCTTCATTGATGCTCGCAAAAGTTCCACTCATACACGAGTAGCACTGGCTAGTCAAGTTATGGACTTGGAGAAGTTTGAAAACTATCCCTGGGGGCGAGTAGCTTTCAAGACCCTCATCAAGTCCATAAAGAAAGCAGACGTGTCCAAGCCATTCAGCCTCGAAGGCTTTGCTGAAGTCGTGCAAGTGTGGGCGTACTATGCTATGCCGAGGTTCGGAGAAGAAAACGGTGATCCGAGGCCAAATAATCCTGAGCCACCGCTGCTAGCATTCAATGGAATCAGAGGGAAGAGATATGTTATCGGAACCATGAAGAAGCAGGTAATTCATTTGCCTTGTACTCTCTGCATATTAATCATAATATCCAAAAATTCTTGACTTTTCTGATAACGGTTTTGCAGGTGCTTTTCAATCACATGGTAATGGTGGACAAGGCAGACGTGTACCCACGTTGGGACAAGGAAATAGATGACGAGAAGGTGGACAACATCATCAAGGCCTTGCTTGGGGAATTTGGTGGAGGATGGGTGTGGAAACCAGCTGACTGGGTTAGAGAAGGGATATCGGTGGTTAAGAAGGTGAAGTTTGAGAAGTCTGTGAAGTCAGAGAAGTCTCATGGCAAGAGGAGTCTCTCTGATGAGGCTGATGATGATGAAGCGATAAGTGTCAAAAGAGCTCGGACCTCAGATGGTTCACCTGCGGAGGCCTCTGGTGCTGGCTGGAAAGGTCTTGAGGCGAAGATTGAGGAGCTTTTTAAAGACTTCACCAAAAAACACTTCGAGGAGATGAGTAAGACCCAGGAAAAGATTCAGGTCCTCACCGCTCAAGTCGCTGTGGTAGGGAGGATTGTCAAGAAGCTTTCGCATCCTCAGGCTCAGGATTCTGTGAAGTCCAGTGAGGATACTGCGAAGTCCAATGAGGATTCTGCGAAGGCCAATGAAGAGCTGGAGAAGAAGAATGAGGAGCTGGAGAAGAAGAATGAGGAGAAGTCCGATGAGGAGCCGGATAAGTCCGATGCCGGTGAAGGGAAGACGGCTCCGCCTGGTGGAACGGTTAGTACCGTTCATTCTCCACGTAGATCTAAAAACTCTGATAAAGTAGTTGAAAAGAGATATGTGCGTAGGAGTCATAGGGTCGCTGTGAAAAAGAACAAGTGATGTGTGTATGTTTCTGTTTGTAGTGTGTTGCGTTGCGTTGTACACTTTCCCTCCTGTTTAAATAAAAGTTCAAATTTCTAGTGACTCATTATCTGTTTTGTCTCTCTCTATCTCTCTTGTGTTTGAGCAATGTTAACAGGAAGATACGGATTGCACTTGGCTCCGGACACATATTCCAACTGATTCTGAGGAAGCCGAAGAGAAAAGGCAACAGGAAGAGCAGATCAAGGCGGCTAATGTTATGGCAAGAGGGAAAAGTGAGAGAGTAAGGAAGCTGGCGTTTACTCAGAAAGGTGAGTTCCAAGGAAACAGCACCGCTAGAAGGATCATCCTAAACAACCCCCCGGAGATACCCAATTCCCCACCGAAATCACTTAAGATCATCTCTAAACCGAGGAAAGCAGCTATTACGAAGAAAGCAGCTAATCCGAAGAAAGCAGATCCGAAGAAATCACCTCCTCCGAAGAAAGCAGATCAGAAATCACCTCCTCCGAAGAAAGCAGCTAATCCGAAGAAAGCACCTGAACCTAAGAAAGCACCTGAACCTAAGAAAGCAACCGGTGGCAATGAACCTCTAGGGTATAATCCATTTGCTCGACCTCTCGAGGAAAGGATAACACCAATGCGGGCATTCGTCTCCGGATTACCGTGAGCCCCTAAACTCTTTTGTCTCTTCGTTGTTTGACCAAATTATAGAGGCTTACGAGAATTTACCAATGTTTCAGGGGTTATTCTGCAGCTACAGCGCTGGAGCCGGACAAGTTCGATTACCCGGAATGGCACTGGTGGTTTACTTTACTCACGGGGTTTCAATGGCTATCGGATAGCGTACGTTCTCGTTGTTAGACTTCGTAAATATACTTCACAAGTAGACTTCACTGTTAGACTTATGACATAGACTTCATATTTAGTCCTCATAGTCGAATTCTTTGTTTCCATTGCAGCATATGAAGTCCTGGGCCACCATGATGACTCACCGCCTAGCAACGCGACCAGAGTTGTTTAAAAATGATAGGATCTGCTTCCTTAACAGCCATATCACTCAATTTTGGGAAAGGGACTGGCCCAGGTTTCAGAGATGTCAAATGCTGCCTCCTAATTCGCTGGACTGGTACTTTGGTAATCTCCCGAAAAGCCAGCCCAGCAATAAGCGATGGGGTTATGATGTTGATGATTTATTCATTCCATTGAATATCAAGAATAAGCATTGGGTCGCGCTGCATGTCTCCATACCCAAAAGGCACATTACCATCTACGACAGTCTGGCTCGATGATGCGGAAATGGACTTGTTGGTGGAACCCTATGCGGTGATGATGCCGAATCTTATGCACTCCGCGGCTCAGGCTGAGGACAAATGCGTCTACTTCGATGCGAAGTACACGCACAGCCGTCCGAGTAAGGATGTGCCGCAGCAAGTGGGGGCTGGAGATTGTGGCGTGTTTGTCCTCAAGTTCATCGAGTGCCTGGCAGTCGGATATGCCGCATTTCCGAAGACGTTGTGTCAGAAAAACATCACCATGTTTAGGGAGCAGATTGCGTCTGATATGTACCATGAGATCAACTGCCGTGGACCGGTCGAGGACCCAGATGATTGGGACAATGTCGATTTGTATGACGAGAGATTATGAAAGGTGTAGGTGTAATCCCGTAAACTAATGCTCTTTAGAACCCGATGATGGGTGTAGGCTAATTATTCTTTTGTAATCTATCGCTGATCGGCCTTCACATTTCAGAAGTCTATTGTTTTGGTATATTGTGCACTTGGTATATTTCAGAAGTCTATTGTATTTCAGAAGTCTATTGTTTTGTTATTATTGAATTTCGTATACTTTCCTCCAAATTGGCCACAAAGTAAACCTCACAGATAGACTTGCAACATAGACTTAACTGTGAGACTTCAAGAAAAAATAAAAACCAGTGTTTTTATCCGTTTCGTCCACCTAAAACACGAACAAAACATACAAATTGGCCGCAAAGTAAACTTAATAGATAGACTTAATAGATAGACTTCTGTGTCAGACTTCACGAAAAACTAAAAACCAGTGTTTTTATCCGTTTCATCCACCTAAAACACGAACAAAACATACAAATTGGCCGCAAAGTAAACTTAATAGATAGACTTCTGTGTCAGACTTCACGAAAACTAAAAACCAGTGTTTTTATCCGTTTCATCCACCTAAAACACGAACAAATCATACAAATTGGCCACACAAGTAAACTTCATAGATAGACTTTAGATAGACTTCTGTGTCAGACTTCACGAAAACTAAAAACCAGTGTTTTTATCCGTTTCATCCACCTAAAACACGCACAAATCATACAAATTGGCCAGACTCACAATAAACTTCATAGATAGACTTTCAGATAGACTTCGTCGGCAGACTTCACGAACAACTAAAATCACAAGTCAGTCTTCAGCGACCTGTGTAGTGCAGAAAATGAAAGATGTCAGCTCCTCTCAATGTGGATGCAAAGCATGAAGGGACAGCTTTATAAACTTACACAATTGGGGCGAGTATGACCAGGTTCCTTGCACTTAGAGCAGCTGTACTTCTTATGCGTTTTCCTCGGTTTTGTGTTTTTCTTCCTAGACATCTCTAGCCAAGTTTGCCACCTCGACTTCTTCGGCCTTCCAGAAGGGACACTCTCCCCTGGAGGCAAACAGCGAACAGGCTTCACGTGGGAGTCAGTTCCCTCTTTGGGGTAAATCGGATGTGCATATGTTGAGAACAAGGAAGGCGTCGAATGAGTGGCGCATACGTAATAGGACATGTCGACGTTAGCTTCGGCTGCAGCTGCAATAACATGAGAGCAAGGGATTTTTTCAACGTTATACACACCGCACGAGCATGTTCGATTCTCCAAGTCGACATTACAATCTCGTCTCCCGCCTTTAACATGAAAGCGCCAAGCGTCTATGCGATCTACGATCATACTTCCCGCATAGTAAGACCGTATGGCCAATATGTACTCAACACCTCTGCTGTGTCTGGTTGTGAGACTCAGTGCATCCTCCCGCCTCTTGCTAAACCATCTCCCGAGCTTCTCCCTAATAAACTCCAAAAGACGAGGAATAGGTAATCCTTTTGCTTTCTTGACAGCCGAGTTAATAGATTCTGCGATGTTGCTCGTCTTTATATTGTATCTATCACCTTCAAAATGAACTCTCGACCATAACTTCGGATCTGAGGTCTCTAAGTAAGTAGCTAGGGCAGGGTTCGCAGCTCTTATGAGGTCCATGTAACGGTCGTATTCAGGCACCGTATGGGCGTAGGCTGCACCTTTAACCATATACATTATCTCCTTTGCGTGGAAGTCCTTTACTATATTACCTTGGAGGTGATAGTAGCATATTCCTCTTGATGCCCAGGGCATAACGATTCCAATGGCTCTAGCTATGGCAGCGGCACGGTCAGAGACTATCGCCATTGGCGGAAATTGCCTGAAACAATCTCTAAGCTTGTTGAAAAACCATTCCCATGATTCACTATCCTCAGCATCGACCACTGCGAAAGCTAGCGGGAATATTTGAAAGTTGGCGTCTTGTCCGGCAGCCACGAGTAGAGCTCCTCCGTATTTCCCAGTAAGATGAGTCCCATCAACCACAATCACTCTCCTCAAATACTGAAAACCAGATATAGAACCGGCGAGTGATAGAAAGCAGTACTTAAAACGGTCCTGTGAGTCACAGACAAGGTCAGTCACAGTTCCCGGATTTGCATCCTTGATTCTTTGCAAGTAAGAAGGCAGATTCGCGTATCCTTCTTCAGCTGTTCCCCACACCAAGTCTTGGGCATGTTTCAAAGCTCTATATGAAGCCGTATAGTCGAGCTTCATTCCAAACATCCTCCTCATAGAGTCTCTTATGTGTTGCGGCACAATTCCTTCAATGAGCCCTGTCCGATCAAGAAAAAGCTTTCCAATATACTTCGTTGTACAACGTTTATGGTTACGTACTCGATCAGAAACAGAACATGTATGCGACTTCACGTACTTTGTCACCCAAAACGTGGAGGGTTCGTTCTTTACGGCCGCTCTAAGCCTCCATTTGCATCCAGCGACTTTGCATTTGGCCACAAACACTTTTCTTGTAGACGCAGCTATCCTGAATGAGAATCTTGTCATCACCGCGGTCAAACGCAACTCAGAGATAAGTTGGGCCTTGGTATCAAAGCTCTGGTGCTCGTAAATATTGTCTTCCCAATTATCAATTCCTATACGATGACCCACACCACGCCCTAAAAGGCGGGGATCATCGAAAGGAACATCAATGACAACGTCTTCATCTTTAATTTTCCCATACTGACTGTAGTCCGCGTGTGTGTCATCATCGCCTTCATAAGCTTTTTCCCTTACATCATCCTCATCACAACCCGACTCTTCAGACACTTCTTCTCGTTCTGCGCTCCAATCTTCATCCAACTCTTCATCGAACTCTTCCTTCAACTCATCATCCAGATTTTCATCTAAGTCTTCATCCAAAGGTCCATCTACGTTGTCTTCATCCTTCCTTTGCTAGAGACACAAAGTCGTACACCATGATTTCTACTTAGCTCGATCAAGCTTTCGACTTGTCTGTCGTTTGTGACAAACATGGGCGGAGAATCATTACACGTTTGCTGAGTGAACACTTCTGGTAATGGATATGATATTTCCAAACGGTGTCCGATCTTGGTTAGCGAATAATCCTCTAAAGCCATTTGAATGAGCTCATCATGTGTACATCCATCCCTCAACGAGAACATTCTACCTCCTTTCCGATAATCAACCTCAAAATGCCAAGACAAATTGTCCTTTATCACCCATTCTCCATAAACAGATGCAATGTAAACCATTTCCTGCAAGTAAACAAAAACAACCGCATTAGACTTCATTGATAGACTTTATGGTAGACTTCACCTAGAAGTCTACCTAGTATTGTCTAATATTCAAATTTCACAAGAAAACCGTTTTCACGAGCTATACAACGAATAAGCATGTCAAACTAACACACCAAGCAACTAATCAGATTAAATCAACTAATTGTTTCAAGAAATCTTAAAAATTCCTTATATATTTACCAAAAAAGCGTTTTCAAATAAAAAGTTAAATAGTAGACTTCACGATGAAGTCTATTTAGTATACTTACTTGTGAAGTCTAATAGACTAGTTTTGCAATTTTTCAAATGACAATTTTTTTATGAAGTCTACACGTGAAGTCTACCGAAAAAAAAAGACTAGTTTTGCAATTGACCAAGCTTTGACTTTTACAATTAGACTTCATTATCGTGAATAGGCTTAAAAATGAAGTCTAACTACAGAATGAAGTCTATCGGTGAAGTCTAACTACATAATGAAGTCTATCGGTGAAGTCTACAACAACAATTAGACTTCATAGGGATTAGTTTTGCAATTGGAATTTTTGAATCAGGAAAATAGACTTCATCGTGAAGTCTACTCCGACAAACGTTGACTATTAGACTTCTTGGTGAAGTCTATCAAGAATTAGGCTTCGAAATGAAGTCTAACCCAGTATTAGACTTTGAATGAAGCCTAATACAACATTAATAGATTTCAGGGGTAGACTTCACGATAAAACAAACTACTTAAAGTTTGCAAAACTAGTCTTTTATTCAAGCAGACTTCACAGATAGATTTCCCATAAAAAGTTTTTATTCTGTCAATTGCAAAACTAATCTTTTCGAGTAGACTTCATTCTGAAGCCTACGCCATATTTTTTTGTTTTCAAAGGAATATGGGTAGACTTCATTGTGAAGTCTACTCTCTAAATTTTTTGAAAAATCAATTGCAAAACTAGTTTTTTAGACTTCGCTATGAAGTCTAAGGACCTGCAAAAATATGAGATTCACTCAGATCTACCGGAAAGTTACCTTGCCGTGATCTTATGTTTCGTTGACGGCCTATAACTTCGATTTAGAGCTTTAGCAAACTTCCCCAACCGTTATAATGATCTCCCACACCAAAAATGGGAAGATCTAAGAACATAAACTTTGAAAAGATGAAAATGTGTATTCTTGGGGTGAAAATTGAGAGAAATTGACCAATACAAGTTTATGAGATGATATAATGAGTTTGTGTATATGTTTGAAGAGTACATCGTGCATTGAAAGCTTGATTTCGGTTGAGAATGGTTGTTGGACGAATTGATGGTGATGGCATTTTCGTGAATAAATGAAGAAGATGAGGTTTCTTTGGACTTTTTTTCAGAGTGTTAGACTTCACGGTTAGACTTCAAAGACGAAAGTAATGGCATTTTCGTTATTATCACAATTATTGTGAGGATAAACAAGGAAGAAAAAAAGAGTGAACTACTTTTGCATTTGACCTTGTACTACTTTTGAAAACAGCCCTTTTTTAACGTATTATTAATTTCCTTCTTTTGTTATTTTTCGTGCTGGTGATAGTACCTTTTTAAATAACATCTTAAATATGCTCATGAATGGTTTATAATATCTTAAATAAAAATGTGTTTCCAAAAACAAAGATTTTATTTTATTTTTTCCGACACAAAGATTTACTACATTAGATTTACTCATCAATATTTGTTTCCATAACAAATCTATAGTATTAATAAATTTAAATTCAAGAAAAGATACGGTAAATATTTGCTTCCTTCTTCAGTTCTTCGTTTCTTTTGTAAAGATCAGTTTTTTTTTATTTTGCTCTTTTTTGTTAATTGAATTTTCGGATTTAAATATGGATATTTTTATTTGACAACTAATGTATATGGATCAATAATCCTATATACAATTATAATTCCATTATGAAATAGTGATTTTTGACACAATTTATAATGTAGAAACACAAAATGATAATTTCAGTCATTCTACTAATTAAAATTGAGATTTTCATTTGATTCTTTTTTAAATTTAATTTAATTAAAATTGATACAATTTTGATTTGATTATTACAATTATAGAAAAGGAACGATTGAGCTGCCGCCGGTAGATGGAAACTCACGAATTTTTTTTGAGTTTCGTTTGTTAATTCAAGTTACTGAAGGAGTATTAAGTTCAATGACGTACATTTAAATGCATTTGGATTTTCGTATTCCACATTGGAAAAACAAAAACGGGTTTTCCCAGATTTAATACCATAAGTAAATCCTAATTCTAAATGGTTTTTAATTACCCCTTATTAAGGATAATCAAAAGATTTTTTTATATATATAAAGATTAACATCTCCTGCCTTACTTAAAACTTAAAAGGATCTGTTCACCTTCTTCCTACAGAGGAAACGAAATAATGTTTGCCAAGAAAACAAAGCCGAAGATTGGATGTTACCGTAATGTCTTTGCTCTTTTGTTTCGTTCTTCGAGATCGACGAAATGGCGAAAAGCTTCGAAGTGGTAAAGAAACATAGTTTACTTGCTTTAGAAGGTAAAGATTTTTCTTCTTGTTTAGGTATTTAATCGAATCTGTCTTTTTTTTTTTTTGCAGTAAACTCAACATCGAGAATCTGCTCTGCTCTATCAAATTACATCAGAGACGAAGAGAGTGTATGGTTCGACAAGCCAAGTCCGATATCGCTCAACTCCTTCCTAATGGTCGCATTTCGGAAGCACTTCCTAAGGTATTCTTCTAAATTGATCCAATTCCGAATCTCGATCACTTGCTTTATCTGTTTTATAATTTTATCGTTTGCAAATTGAAAACCTAGGCGAAACAAATCTATGAAAACGAGAAAAGTTTATCGGCGTACGATCATGTCGAGGACTTCTGCACATTGATATTGCAGGATTTTTCTTTGTTAAATCATCAGAGGTAAGTTGTTTTTGATAAATTGTATCCCAGGTAATATAGAAAATCATAAACGGCTCAAAACCCTAATTTTTTATCGTGTTTCTCTTCGCCAGCGATGTTCATTTCTTACCGGAAGAAACCAAAGAATCAATGGCTGGATTGATATTTGCCGCTTCAAGAATTGGGGAGCTTAAGAAGCTTCAGTTTATAAGGAGCTTGTTCGTTGAAAGATTTGGGCTTGAGTTTGACAAAGATTGCGTAGATTTGCGTCCAGGAAACCTCGTGAGTTTGGAGATCATTAAGATTCTAGACACGAAGATGCCGGGAGAAGCTATTAGTCCAGAGATTGTGATGGGAATTTACCAAAAGTACCAAACTGACATCGCTGGTTCTGTGGATTCAGTAACTGAAGAGTCAGCTTCAAGACTGGAAAGGGTTGTTATAAGAGAGAATTCGAAGTTTCTGCACTCAAATCTTGGAGAGTCTCAAGGAAGCAATCGATCATCGTTCATGCGATAGGAGTTTTGGATTGGGATTGTTGTTAGGCTTCGAGGTTTGCTTTGAACTCAAGTCTTGTTATTGTAAAACATGCATAATGAAAGAGTAAACAGACAGTGCGAGAAACATGGTCAAGTTTTTGTATTCTGTAATACATGCACTAAATAGATAGTAAAAATATATTTCCTGCATAAAAAGGGTAACAACTATAACTTATAAGAATATAAATTTCATTTTGAGGAGATTGCATGATTGGAGACAAAAACAGGACTTGTCAGGGTTTAGATGAGAACACTCTCTATATCTGGATGCTAATGAATTAGCATATGATGAACAATTCGTTGCATATGAGTTTCATGATACTGATTCAAGCCTTCTTTGTTCACAATGTTTAGCTTCAGATTTTGCATTTTGTATTTAGCATCTCCCAAACCAGAACATGTGGAATTTGTCCCTGAACCAAATCAAAAGCCCCAACTATAACTTCAGATTTTGCATTTTGACCATGAAAACTGATTTTTGTTTGGTATGTAGAAGGACTAGATCCTTCCTTGTGCTGTGTTGATGAAAATTCGAATTTTGTACTTCCAATTTTCCAGGTAATATGCAAAAAAAGAACCAAGGCTTCCAAAACTTTTGACTTGTCTTTTTCCTTTTTTTTTTTTTAAACTCTAGTCTATTGGTTTGTGTAGATATAGTTTTGGATATATTTCTTAACAACCTTATTTTGTTTCGGTTTCAGTAAAAAAGTTTGATTCTACGAAGTGATAACAAGAGTTATCGCCCTGTTTTCTTTAGAAAGGTGTGGTTAAAACTTACACAACCATGTGTATACTACTTACATGATCATCAAAGCTTGAAGCTGTGTTGTTGTGTTGAGTTTCTTACAGGAAGACTTGGAAAAATCCATAACACGAGCTCCCCGCCAACAGAACCGGCTTAACCCTGCTCTGAAACCAGGCGATATTCAGGTTTTCTTATAATATCAAACCATCTTGGTACCTTCGTATACAGAAAAAAAAAGTAAATAAGCTAAAAATAATCAAGTGACGTGTACGCTCTATCGCCCCAAAACAGAGTATAATCGTGTGTCATCGAAATAAAGTAATTGTCAAAATCTATACTTCGCTTTTTTTTGTCTTTCTTTCTTATTTATAATTTTCATGCTTGATTTTGAGATGTATGGCAAAGGATGCTATCGAACAACTTGGGACCTACTTTGCCAGCTCAGAGCAACTATTATTACCACGTGCCTTGCATATCACTAAACATGATAATTCTTCGCCTCACTACTAAAACAGTAACCAACAAAAAATTTGCCATTGTCAAATAAAAAAAACGCTGATGAAAAAGCTCGTTTTCCTCTTTCTTGCCCGACAAAAGATAAGCGTATTATACAATAGACCTTACCTAGTGATTTAAATTGATTTTAAACATTACCATTACACTACAAATATTCGTTGTAGTAGCTAGCTATATATACATAGTTTTAAACTAGATATATTTACCTTTAAGATAAGATAAAGTTGGATGAGGTGGTGGGACTGATCTCCGAAGTTCATCTTCATCGTTGGATTCCTTTTTTTCGTTTCGTTTCTATTTAAAGAATATGAAAAGACGTATAATATGCACAAGTTGGTACTCAATAAGTCAATATGATCGATATATCTCCAACTTGACGAGAATATTAAATCAGCTTTATAGGTTTCTTTAAAAAAAAATTTGTTTGTTGTTTGCTATCACTAGGTTAAATAATGCATATTGCAGTGTTTAAAGGTGTCTCTAGTATGAAAAAAATGGGCCTATGAAAACAGAGGATATTACGATGTACAAAATCAATTTATTTTGATATTAAAACCTACTCCAATAAGCATGAAAGCATGAAATTCCTATTGTGTTAACAAAATATAAAGACTCAAAATGTACAAAAAATAGATGAAACTTATATCATCTTGAAATCCACGTCATCAAATTCTTTACACTTTTTCTTGTGACCTAAAGTTTCGGGTGTGCTCATTAGATGTGAAGGTGATTTTGATATGCATGACATTTTTTTCTTTTTAAATGCTTGAAATCGTCAATTAAGTAGCCGTTTTCAATTTCATTTCAAAAACAAAGAGACTGTGTGGACAACATTGTCATGATATGGGTTTGACCCAAAAAGAAGAATAAACACAACTTTGACCTACCCATGGATTTGTAAACGAAGAGAAGCACAATAATTAATTTTTAGTTTTGCAGTTAATGTGTGAATGGTGCACACATACATAACTATATATCTGGATTTTGAGTGAAGTGTAATTGTATATCCATTCAGACCCGCTATTGATGAAATAAAAGCTAATTAACACCAGGTGCCCCGTTACACGAAAACTATCGAGTGAAAGAAACCCCAATTCGCTTAGTATTTTTCTTTTTTTTCGTATACATCACTTGGCGTACACAAGATATCAATTAATTTAATCTTGATAGGTCACTTTTTGATTAATATATCATAAGAAAACCATCATACGAGAGCCAGTTAGTTCTATATGCATATGTATTTATCTCAATAAGTTTCTTGACTAACGTTCCTAACTACGAATCATAAATTGAAGTTAAGAATAATTCTCAGAACCTGTCGATAACTGAATAACTTTGTCATTTAAGGCGTTTACAATAGTTAACTACGGAGTATGATTGAATTTGTATTATAACAAATTGAACTAAATCACGTATAAGTAAGAGAGATGTGTGTTTGTATACCCTCTCTTAGTTTTACAATCTCTTCTGAGTCTGACGAAACATAACTAGAAAAAAAAAAATTGATGATAATCGAGAGTCTGCGTCATCAGCTCGTGTTTGTTGGTCGTCTTTCTCTCATCTGTAACGGCTTTTTGACGAGGAAAAATAATATCCCGCCTAACTCAACTCATAAAGACAAAACACGTGTCGTTTCGTGGTAGTTCTATCCGTATGAACAACGCTTTCCATGTTATACCATCCACTGAACTCACCCCATCATTCACTTCCACGTGTCTCTTCTTCTTGACCAAAAAACAATTTGGCACATACGCATTCAAATATTTAAAAAAAATATTTTGGATGCATTTTTTTCTTCTCACTTTTCACATTGATGTAACTATATTCAAAAAAAAATTAAAAATTAAAAAGAGAATTACTGCAGGAAAAAAAAACCCAAATGTAAAGTCTTAGCCTCCTAATTAATGAACGTACGAATATTTATAAAAACTTCAAATTATCTCCCTAACATTTGGGAGAAAATCATACAAGGCGGCACAGTCTCACACATACATTTTTGGTTTAGGTCATAACAAACAATTTTTGGTTCAGTATCATTTATTATAATAATCAACTTTCTAGTATAGGTTCAACGAACCCAAGGGATCGCATAAATCATGACGCTCTAATTGATCCACGTGTCAAAAGTGGGACCCCTAATGAGGCTGCACGTTAACGAAGATTGGGCGGCGGTGTAGAAACTCTCTCTGTGCAATGTGCATATATATAAATATACATACACACAAGTAACAAAGCTCCAAATCTAAACGTGAAAATACCAAAAAAAAAAACAAAAGTGAGAAGAAAACTCAACGAGATATTTATTTATTTTTCCGAGAGAAAGATAAGACAAATGGGTATCCAAGAATTGGACCCGTTAGCCCAGTTGAGCTTACCACCGGGCTTCCGGTTTTACCCGACGGACGAAGAGCTGATGGTAGAGTATCTCTGTAGAAAAGCCGCCGGTCACGACTTCTCTCTTCAGCTCATCGCCGAGATCGATCTCTACAAATTCGACCCATGGGTTTTACCAAGTACGTAACCTTAAACCGCCCCGGTTTTGTTTTGTAATAAAGATATACTATAATAATCTTGCGGTTGTTTGATTTATGTATATATATTGGTTGGTAGGTAAGGCGTTATTCGGGGAAAAAGAGTGGTATTTTTTCAGCCCAAGGGATAGGAAGTATCCGAACGGGTCAAGACCCAATCGAGTCGCCGGGTCGGGTTATTGGAAAGCCACCGGTACCGATAAGGTTATCTCAACGGAGGGAAGAAGAGTTGGTATCAAGAAAGCTTTGGTGTTTTACGTTGGCAAAGCACCAAAAGGCACCAAAACTAATTGGATCATGCATGAGTATCGTCTCATCGAACCCTCTCGTAGAAATGGAAGCACCAAGGTAAACTAAAATATTAACAACAAATTTAACTGGCTGTATAATTTATACTTTTTGTTTATTTTGTAAATAAAGTGATATTTTCATTTACAGCTTGATGATTGGGTTTTATGCCGAATATACAAGAAGCAATCAAGCGCACAAAAGCAGGTTTATAATAGTCTGATGACGAGTGCTCGAGAATACAGCAACAATGGTTCGTCCACGTCATCTTCGTCTCATCAATACGACGACGTTCTCGAGTCGTTGCATGAGATAGACAATAGAAGTTTGGGATATGCAGCCGGTTCATCAAACGCACTGCCTCATCATAGTCATAGACCGGTCTTAACCGAACAGAAAACCGGGTTTCACGGTTTAGCCAGGGAGCCAAGCTTTGTTGACTGGCCGAATTTTGGTGGACATCATCACTCGCTCCCAGAACTCGGACTAAGCCAAAACGCTCCGAGTCTCCGTTACGGCGACGGTGGTGGTTATTTTCACGGCGTGAAGACTAACGAGGAAGACGATAGGACGCAGCAACAGGCTCATCAGGGTTTTAGTGTTGACCCGGTTAACGAATTTGGGTACTCGGGTCAACAACCTAGTGGTTTCGGGTTTATGTGATTGTGTAATGGTTACGTAATGAAAGGAAGAACATAATTTCAATTTTTTGTGTTAAGTCAGATTAATTAATTTAGTACTATAGAATTGGATTCTTTGGGGTTGGTTAGGTTAAGGTTCTCACCACTTGTATACTCGTCCTCATTTGTCCTGACAGATATATTTTTGCAATTTATAGCTGGATCCTTCATATAAGTACTTTATTAGATTTTTACAAAACATATTGCATGTTGATATATCATATATGGTCTGTTTGCTTCGTAACTCCTGCACAAGCAATCTGTTATAAATCCACTTAAAATGTTTTTGAACAAAACTATATGTTGTTGAGCAAAGTAATATGTTTTGTCGTTGTTGGCAATAAAATTTGACTACAGCTTCGTTAATCTAAAACATAAAAAAAATATATATATTCTTTTCAAAATAGTTAAAAATTCCATCGCCAAAATGCATCGTTAAACCTACACTTATATAAACAAACATGATTTAATCGATAGTATTTTGACGACAAAAACAAACAATTTATAAACATATATATGATACATATATCGTTTGTAGCTTATGCAAGAGAACCGGACCAACTTTTATAATTATGATGTCTCGCCTAGGACACTAGTCACACTAGTATACTTTATCTTAATATCTTATAAATTTTCAAACAAAGGTATTTATATTTGGTATAAAGTATAAACACATGACAAAAAAAAAATCGCACGAGAAAGTTGTGCATATATTCGTTTATGTACGATGTCATATGCAAAGACGCAAGGTTTGAAATAGTCATGTTCATATACAGCTGTTCGTCTTAGAGATTAAAGAACGTTCAAAATTTGTTAAAGATATGTACATATTGTTTTAATGGGATTATGGGAATAGGATAGTGATGGTTATAGATTTTTAGATGACCAAATCATAAAGACAATTTGGGATTTTGGAGATAAGATTGGACCTTTTGAGTTTTCCCGAAATTGCACGTGTGTCAGTGTGTGTCAACGCGGGCTGCTATTTTGACCAGCTTGGAATCATTTCTTTCCTAAAATAGTAAGAGTTCACATTGTACAAGTTTCGAACACAGCAACGCTTTTTGTTCCTCAAAGTAGATTTGCACAACGCGTTTTAAATATCTTGTAAAACTAGGGATAATCATTTAATAATACTACTGAACTTAGGGTTTTATTATAAAAAATTGAATCACAATCTAAACATGAGAAAACACTATTTAAAAAAAATATTGTCGTGAATATACATATCTTAAGTTGAATTTTAAGAAATTCGTGGACTTTAAATGTTTAGATTTTCTTCTTATTCTTTTTAATTGTAAAAAAAAACGAATATATCTAGAAGAGAATGTGAAATTAATTAGACGAGACGACTGTTAGTTACTTTCGACATCTCTAACCCACATCAATCATCCTTCTTTTCCACAACTACAAACCTTCTTCTTCTCGATCCGCAAAATTGCCAAATAGAAAACACAAAAAGGAAAATTGGTGGAAATTAGATGCAGGAGGAGAAGAAATTGGTCGTTTGAAAAGCTTTCAAATCATAAAAGAGTCAAGATATGTGTTTTTTATTTATTTTTGGGTTGATTAATAACTTTTCTTATAATTAAGTTTAAAAGCTATCCGCAGGATATAAGTACGGGTGATATAAAATTTGGTATCATGATGTCTAGAAATCAATATATTGGCAGTGCAAATTCTACAATTTTAAAAAGGATAAAAGATAACAAAATTAATATTAATTGCATGTAAATTTTGTTAGACGAAGCTCTACGCAACCTATTGGATCGAGCATATTCTATCGTAAATACATGAAAACGAAGGTTCTGAGTTTGATACTTTGTAACCATTTTGCATAGAAAGACTTGTGGTCCAAATTCGGGATGTTTTAGTACGTTAAACCAACCATTCGTTCCACCATACCACATGTAATTATGACTATATACATGTGTTTAATAATTATATTTATTGGGCCATGGGCCAAATCTGGGATCAGCTAGGCCTATATAATTATCATTAATTAATCCCACTTATTGGGTTTTCTCGCTCCTGATAATAGGAGCACAACATACGCAAATTATCTTCTTCTTCTTCTTCTTCTCTTTTTTTTTTTTTTTTTTTTTTTTTGAAAAACTTCTTCTTCTTCTTCTTTTGTGACATCAGTCTTTCATTTCTGTTAAAGAAAGCAAATTATCTTCTGATGGGGAATGTTTTTCTTACTGTCTGAGACTTGAGAGAATACACTTTTTTATTTGTCAACTTATATTTTAGAGAAAAAATCATAAATACAGCAGATTTATCACCAAGAATAACTTTACAGAATAAATGTAAAAGCTAATTAAAAAGATTAGACAATATGAGATGCTAAGGTTATTAATCTGTCTTCATGATTTTAAGAGTTCACTTGTTATCTTATTTACTACACGATCATATTTAAAGAACTTGTGGAATTCCAAAAGCTTTCTGTGACTAATTCTACGAGATCTTGCATCCGGATATACATATTTGTAAATATTTTAATTTAATGTGTGGCTAACTGGGTAAGGGGACTCGAACTACACAATCATTGTTATATAATTGCAAGATAAGTCTAGTAAGTTAACATATATTATAGAAGTCATGAAATAAAGTTAGTACTCAAATTAATGAAATACACGTTCATACATGCTTTAGATTAATAACATTTCCTTGAAATGTGTTGTTATCGAGTTTATGCTATCTTTAATTGGAAAATAGTTTCTAATATTTTAACGAAATAATGAAATTTTATGTGTACTATTCTAATTAAATACACTATGTATTGAATCCCCGCGCATGTGCGGGTTGTTAGCAATCATTTTTCCATCTGATTTTATTACTTTTGTTAATTTTATATATGATGGCTTTAAGTTAACTTTTGGTTATATTTTGAGTTAATCCAGCCATTTACACTAAAGATATAATCAACTTATTTTTCTATTTTATTTTATTAAAATGTTAATTCCATATTTTATCTCGAGTTTTCTCTGCCTAAAAATGTTGCATGCTTTAAACTATAAGTATGCATTTAACTCGATGTTATAATTTGTAAACATGGTGAAGAATCACATTTGCACTTTGAAATATGGTATACAATAATATGTATAACTTCTTCTAAATCTGTTGCCGTATGGTCTAAACATATATGGTAACCATTCAGTATTTTCTATTATGTTAGTTTTCTAAATATAAATTGTATTTTTGAAACAAATATATCACAATATTTAGAATTTTCATGTTTTTCATTGCAATGAAATTTACATATAATAACTTGAATTCAATTAATTTTTAAAATTTACTTTTAACTCTAATGTCTCATTAGCTTTCTACTATATTAATTCAAATATATTCTATATATTTTTAACTCGTAAATATATTATAACATTTTAAAATAAAATAATTTTTTCATACAATTTAAAAAAAATTAAAGCTAACAATATATATACTATTTCGATTTAAATATTTCCTTAGTTCATCTTCATTTTCTATTCCTTATAAATTTCTTTAACTTTTAACATCAAATTATCACATATTTTATATCTTCATACATTAATTAATTAATTTATTTGTGTATTTTTCTTAAGTTGGTTTATGTTTAAAATAGGAATATATATATTAAAGTATATTATATATGTATTTAATAAATAATGTAATTTTGGTGGAGAAAACACTCCCTAATTATATATAAGATTTTTACCTACGCATGACGTACTTTTAAACTAGTTAAACTTGTAGTTGGGACCCAACAGAAAAAAAACTAGCTAAACTTACAAAAGATTTTTTTCTTTGAAATTTACTCGCGTCACTTCGGATCAATCAATTCCAAATAAATATCGCACACATGCAATTATAATGCAATATCTTATAGCATCTAACTAGGACACTTGCGATCAAAATACATCTAACCTAGACAACTTTTTGTTGTTGTTGCTCATTCTACCGTTGGCTTGTGTGACCTTACGGTGAGTCGAGAAGGTCACTTATCATATTTAACAAAGCAGACAATTGAGGAGGTCCTTAATCACTTTCCATATCAGGCTTAAAAACAAGGATTGGAAAGAAATAATAAAGCAAAGTCTCAGCAGAATCACGTCTTAATCTACTTGATTGATTATCTCATCAGGCATAATTAATCATGGCCATTAATATCCGTAAACCCTATCTCCAAACAATACTTACGTATAAATTACGCCAGAATATACGCATTAGACATGACCAATTGTGAATAGCTACAAAAAAAAAAATGCAGATATAATATAGAATAAGATGGCTACATATGCTGTAAAAACTGCACTTTAATTCATAATTTAGCAATTAACATAAACATTGTTCACAATCACTACGTCGATATCAATAAATTATAAAAGTAATGTTTTTTATTAGAATGATTTACGATGTACCATGGTAAAAATCAATAGTTTAATCCCAAACCGACGAGACATACGCATGAAGTTAGAAAATAATAACCCTTCTTCTTAAAAAAAAAAAACATACAAAATACACACACATATTATTATTTTTAATTGAAAAAACTAACTGCATCTTCTTCGTGAACTATATACAGACCCACGCATTAAAAAAAAGGGTCATGCAAATATAGCTTTTCTCAAATCCGTTTTATTTGTATCTAATAAAAAAATGATGTTAAAGAAAAAATAATAAAAATTAAAATTAAAATTGTAGTTTTGCTTGATGTCATAAGATTAATGTGTTGTTTTTAGTATACCTTTCAACTCTTGGAGATTCGACTAACATTTCAGACAAGATATTTGTGTCAGATTTCTAATCAAAAGACACTACATCTGAAATATGCGCAGTGTTCTCATGATGTGCCAAAGCATGCCAAAGTATAAATTAGTTATGTTTGACATATACCCAAATCAGATCCAAAGCATATTCTCTGAAACAGGAACCTAAATTAAACACGTTGAAATAAAATAGCTAAATCATTCTAGTTAGATTCTGAAAACATGTGTCGAAGATTCAAAATGAGTGCCACACCAAGTGTCATTCGCTCAACTAGAAAAATACCATAGATAAAGTTTAGAGGTCACATGATCAAATGACATTTGAGAGGGGTCTGCTCTCCAAAAGAGAGTTATATTAAATGTTTGGGTCTTGCCTTGGGGAAGAATATCACTGACTAGCAACCTATTTAGCGTCTAAAATTACATTTATATAAGTTTATTGAACGAATTAAGAGTCTAGATATTGTATTGGATGGCTCAGTTAGGATGCGCTCGTAGCACCAAGACATCGCATATGGACCTGATTACTAAAACCCTCAAATATAAACGAATATGATCATCAATATAGCACATGTATACGAAACTATTGGTATAAAGGGGCAGGTAAGATGCTTGAGATCAGATATCATAATGTGTTTTTTAAGAAACAACAAAAAAAACACTAGATGAAACTAGGTCAAAATGGTTAATAATCGTCGGATTTTTGGCATGTCACGTAACATATATAAGACCGTGTAATATGTCATTTAATTTGGTTTAGATATTTTCTAAGTGGCATAAAAGTATTGTATCACATGGTGAAAGCTATCGTTACAAAAGTTCACACATTGGATAATTTGAAAGTAGGTCGTTTTTTTCTGCATAAAGTTATTTTTAATTACGAAAATTTAAAACATAATATAATTTGAAGTTCGGTTTACCATATTAAATACCTTGTAGTAGAGTGAAGTTTACCAACCTACAATATGTTAACTGTTAAAAATTATTAGCATATATATGCATCGTTTAATAGTCAGTGTTAAATGTTTTAATTGCCCTATCCTCCCACTTATTAAGGGTTTTGGTTTTAGCTCGAACTTTTAAAGATTTATAAATTGATCGAAATTGTCTTCGTACCACGGATTTTAAACTCAAATTCATATTGCTATATTAACAATGGATTTGTGCATGTCGTTTATGTACTAGCTTTGATACGTAAGTTGTGAAACTTTTAACATATCCACTCGAAATGATATTGTTTATCTGCATTAATTTGAGTATTGAGGGTTTGTGACCAAAAAACACTTAACAGTTTTAAATGAACCAAATAATGGTACCAGGGGTCATCGTTATATACTTATATTTGTGCAGACCAACTATATATATTCAGCAAAAAACACATTTTCACTACTGTGAATAATTCACGTAACAGATGTAGATGAGAAATTAGAATGAAATTGTTTGTAAACTCATAGTTACAAACAAATGAAACGCTTTCAACTGTTACGGTCTATGCCTATCATCATATATAGTTTTGAGCTGTGTGAATGGATGATTACATTTTATTAATTATTGTTATGGTTTCTTTATCAATCAAGATTGTTCTATGTTGATTTTCAAACTAAACCATAATTTGAGCCCGATATTCAGCAACCATTGTACTGTAGACAATACTTACAACAGTTTCGCGTATTATCTGAAAAATATGTACTCAAATAACTCTAAGCTTTGTTATAAATATATAAAAACTGTGTGTGTGGTTGTGTCGAGATTCCTATATAACGCTAGCAACAAAAGAAAAAGAAAAAAAAAAAAGCACTAGTAATCTCTTGATTCCTGATCCGATGGATGTGACTAAGAAATGATGTAATTAAATTGACTAATTAGAGGCAAGCATTTATTTGAGTTGGTACAACGTGTGTAAAATATGGTCCACATTTCTAGTTTCTTTATTCTTTTCCTGATTTATTTTTAAATGAAGTGCTCCAAAGATAAATCTGGAGAAATAGATTTTCTTTAATTTATGAATATTTCTTTTATTAACGTCGCATGTTTTGAGTTTTGTTCATAGTAAAATATGTGCAATACCAAATCTAATTTTACTTTATTATTTTTAACTAAAATGTACATTAAATTTACTTCAGCTAGTATAGGTAAAAGCATTGGTTTTATATTAAAATTTGATACTTATAATTTTTGTTACACAAAATTTTAAAGAAACATAATAAACGAATTTTTCTTCGAGTATAGTAGGAAAATCCACTAAGTTTTTGCAGCATTACCACCAAAATTAAATTTTATTTAATATTCCTTCTATCCCATATTATAAACAGTTTAGGAAGAATGTATCTGCAATTATTTGGATATATCTGGATATGTTTTGAGTTTAATACATCCAGATAATTGTATATACATTCTTCTTAAACTGCTTATAATATGGGACACAGTATTTATTAACTTTTGGGAACCCCATGGTCAAAAGTCATACAAAAACATCTCCTAATCCTAGAAATCTAATAAATTTTCAGTGAAGATAAAAAAAAAAAAATTAAATATCTCTAGTGGTCTAAAATTATGCATGGTTATAAATATCTTATGATGTTGGATAAAAACAATTTCTAATATTAAATTAACAAAAATGGTATTCAAAACTATAAATCACATGAAATGAGTCGATTTGTTTGTTTCCTTATAATTTTCAAACAATTTATATTTTCTGGTGGTGCGATTATCTCAATAACAAAAGCGTGACATATGACATCTGAAACGTAAAGCTTTTTTTCCCACACCCACCCGGCCATCCAGTTCCACGTCAGCACTTTGTTACCTTCTGTGGCGATTATATGGGTCCCACGCCTCACACTGCCACGTGTGAATATCTTGCCCACCAGGAATCACATATGTCGATTTGTCATTGGAAAGTTCACCCGTAACGGTGACCACACAGAAATAAATTAACTCAATTTCGTTACAGCCTCCAAAATAAAATTAGAAAATTCTTCAATATTTTTTGTTTGTTTTTCCATTTTTTCGGTAATAACTTTATCGTTATAATTATGTATTATAGTTAGTTTTATCGATTATATATATGTGTTGTTGTATAACAGCGACATATATCGCTTTCATCGTTAATTGCAGCCTCTTCTCCACTGTCGTAGTTCGTCCGTGTCGAGCCTATATATAAACTAAGAGAAAAATATTTCTTAATTACAGTCGTTAATGACTAATCTACCCTTATGCATTTGGTTATTTTGGTAATTACGTAGACTCGACATGATTAGTCAGGCTTTGTATATGTGTCGCATTGTCGCCACATTAAAATCCTTTAGTGCAACCAAAACACACTAAACTCGGCTGAAATATGGGGAATTTTATAATTTTTTTAATTATCGCTTATTAACATTAATTATGTGGTTAAAAAATAATTAACTAAAGGTACAGTAACGTTTGAAATTTTTTTTTTTTTTTTGAAACTTTTTGAAGTAAAATTATTTTACTGTTAATCTCCGCGGGTGTATATATAGATGTAACAAATAACAGAGGATAAAAGCCCACAAATTGGCGTTTTATGCGGCCATTTAAAAGAATGATAACGCCGACTCTGTGAAGCATTTTTCAGCAAACCTTCCACACACACAAAAAAAAAATATCTAAGAGAAAAAAAGAGAGAGAGAGAGAGAGAGAGAGAGAGAGAGAGAGAGAGAGAGAGTAATCTCAGAGGAATATGAGCTTCTCCTACAATCCGAGAAACTACAAAATACTTCGATCACGGTGCTAGATTTACAACGGAAAGAATGGAGAGCACCGATTCTTCCGGTGGTCCACCTCCGCAGCCTAACCTTCCTCCAGGATTCCGGTTTCATCCAACCGACGAAGAGCTCGTCGTTCACTACCTCAAACGCAAAGCCGCCTCCGCTCCGTTACCTGTCTCCATCATCGCCGAAGTTGATCTCTACAAATTCGATCCTTGGGAACTTCCCGGTACGTTCGATCTCATCTTCCGATCATCATCATCATTATTTTATTTGAATTTTGTGATTATTTTTTCCTCTTCGGAAATCATTTCTCTGTATGATGACGTATGATCTAACTGTTTTTTTTTCTGTGGATTTTGGATTTGTTTGATGCAGCAAAGGCATCGTTTGGAGAGCAGGAATGGTACTTCTTCAGTCCAAGAGATCGGAAGTATCCGAACGGAGCGAGGCCAAACAGAGCGGCGACGTCGGGATACTGGAAAGCGACCGGTACGGATAAACCGGTGCTTGCCTCCGAGGGAAACCAGAAAGTAGGAGTGAAGAAGGCACTCGTCTTCTACAGTGGCAAACCTCCAAAAGGCGTTAAAAGCGATTGGATCATGCATGAGTATCGTCTCATCGACAACAAACCAAATAACAGACCTCCTGGTTGTGATTTCGGCAACAAGAAAAACTCCCTCCGGGTACGATCTTCACTACTCTTGATCTTTATTTGATTTGAGATATATATATATTTTTTTTTTTAATTTGAATTTGAATATTCTTATGTGTAGCTTGATGATTGGGTGCTATGTCGAATCTACAAAAAGAACAACGCAGGCCGACATGTGGATAACGATAAGGATCACGATATGATTGATTACATCTTCAGAAAAATTCCTCCGTCGATATCAATGGCGGCGGCTGCTGGTGGTGGTCTCCACCACAATGTCTCCAGATCGATGAATTTCTTCCCGGGAAAATTCTCCGGTACTGGTGGTTACGGGCTTTTTTCTGAAGGCGATCCGAGTTTGTACGATGGCAGTGGCATGATCAACAACGGTGCTGATTCAGTGAATCTCAATAACGACGCTGACGTCATTGGTTCGTCGTCTGGCCCGATGATGATGGCGAATCTGAAACGAGCTCTTCCGGTTCCGTATTGGCCGGTAGTGGAGGAAGAACCGGATGTATCTCCGAGCAAGCGATTTCACGGCGGCGGCGGTGGTGGAAGAGGAGGAGGAGACTGTTCGAACATGTCTTCTTCTTCCGTTATTGTGGAGACTCCGCCAATGATGCAACAGCAAGGTGGTGGTGTGTTAGGAGACGGATTATTCAGAACAACGTCGTACCAATTACCCGGTTTAAACTGGTACAATTCTTAATCGACCTGAGTTTCGCCGCCGGTGTGAAATTTTTTCAGGCTGATTTTTTCCGATCGGTGGGGTCATTTGAAAAAAAAAAAAAAAAAGTATAATTTGAGATTTGTGTATATGTTTTGGGTTAATTTATTGGTTCTTGGAGATTTGGGTCATAGGGGTTAGAGGAATGAGGATTAGAGAGGCGGAGATGAGGCAAAACATATAGAAGAAACATAGGATTATTAAAGGTATACTGTTTTCTTAATTTTTATGATGAAATGTATAAATTATATACTTAGAGATGTTTATATATAGATTGTATAGATGCGTATAGTCCTCTCAGTGATATTTTGAGTTTGTAATTTTGTATGTTCTTGTAAAGGAAATGATTTAAAGAAAATAAAAAAATATTGGTTGTGTAACTGTCCATTTTCTTCACACACCCACGTATTTTATATGCTCAATATCAATGTAATTTTTGGGATGAGAATTTGCTTATGAATGTATGGAAGGTAATTTATAATTATAATTATAATAATTTATTCGCCGTCAATTTTTTTTATAATTTATTCGTGGGTGATAGAGAGGAACCGTTGCAGGATTGCATATTTCCAAAACAAAAATCCTCCTAAATACAAAATTTAAAATTTAAATAAGATTTTCTTTAATTAAAAAAGCACTAAGTTATTACCCTGGTGGATTATATCAACCCCATTACTTGCTTTATAATATATTAATAAAGTAATGATAAGCAACATCTACATTGTGTACTTAATAGATAAGAAATTTAAATAATTGTTTGTATATATATATATACTAGATTAAAGACTCGCTTACGCGGGTTTATTTTAAGATTTTGTAGTAAAATTACAGAAAATTATTAAATAAAATATGATCACTTTAAAGTAAGCAGAATAATATTAAAAATCCGATAAAAAATATTTAAATAAAATAAGATCGGTAACCTTTTTACGTTTTTATTGTAATTGATATTTTTTTTGAATTCATGATATGAAAAATGAATTAATTTGTTTTACTTTTATTTTATCCAATATAGAAAGAGTTTTCAGGTAACTTATTTCATGCAGCTATAAGAAATTTAGTTTATATTTTTATTTATTTAGTTAGGTTTTTATTTATTTTATACATTTTTCCAATTTTCTTGTGTTAACAATTTATATATCAATTTCACACAGTTTTATGATATTTAGTTTACATACCTATTCCATGTACTAATATGATTTTTTAAAATAGAGGTTTATGTAACCTATTCAATACAGTTTTAAGATATTTAGTTTACATACCTATTTCATGTACTAATAGGTATTTTTTATTATATTATTTTCAATTTATTACATAAATTTTTGTTTTTATTATAAAAGATTAAAAAATTTCATTTATTTTTTTTCCTTTTTCCCAAAACATACATTATTTTCAATTTAGTTATTTAAATTTTCGTTTTTATTATAAAAGATTAAAATTTTCTCTTTATTTTTGTTTCTTTTCTTTTTCCAAGACATGTGTCACGATCTTAACGGACGTAATATTAAAAGTGACACATGTTGCAATCCTATATTTTATAAAAATCCTACGTGTCGCAACCACGTTGTGCGCATCCAGCTTTATATAATAAGATATATACACTAATACACACGAGGGCCATCTCACGTTGATTGTGATTTATTCTTATTTTCTATATTTTGTTTCAATCATTAAATTCATACCAAACCAGTCCTCAAGTTTATAAATCAGAAACCACTATTTCCATTGTCAACCCATATACATGTTGATAGCAAGATCCAAACATTTTAGCAATTGTAATAACAAAAAAAAAAGAAAAGAGAGAAAATCCGTTATCTTAAACATAATATTTTGCATTTATTTTATGTTTATAATCTAGTACCTTACGGTTTGTTTTAGTACTACTGAAAATAAACGTGATTGAGAACAATCTATAAACAAGAAGATAGCTATATATTTCATACTCATTTTTTTTTACCTACTTTACTCTCGTGATTTGAACAAATAACGCCCTACTTAAGAGTGTATCCAGATATCTTCAGGTGCGGGTGTCATTTTCTGCCCATAACCTTTTATTTTTGTCAACCTGCTCACTGCTCGGAACTTAGAATTTGATTAGACATAGCTATATATATTCCATTAACCATAACCACTGGCCATACAATAAGAATTACAAGCATACAAAAAAAATCACATGATTAAGGTGGGTTTTTTGCCTTCACATATGTGGTCCAGTGCAGTGGTAGGCAAGGTTTGAAAATACTTTATAGCGCTACATTTGGATTCAAATTTCTCTGTAAACAAAAATCATTTTTTTATGAGAAGTACGGAATTAAGTCAAAGATCAATCAATTTATTTGATAGTCCATTACCAGGCGATCCAGCTATTATTGGCATTAGTCCGAAGGCATTCTAAAGTCGGAACACACAATGTAATGCCCGCCTATCAAATTTTATGGATTTCATGGTCTGTTGAACCAAAATCTGGTTGAAACTCATGATATCCGTTGAACCAAAGGAGAAGTTAACTTTGAAACATTGTCGGTACATTTCTACTCGGACTGACCATATTAGCTGATATAATATATATAAAAAAAAAAAAAAAAAACAGCTGAGAAAAGTCACGATTGATTGATCATTCTTAGCAAAAAAAAAAAGTCACGATTGATGAGAAAGTTTCTTTAACCCACGCAGCACTAAGTAAGTAAGCAAGTATTCTTGGGACATGATATGACGACGTTTTTATTTTGTTTGGTAAGATGTTAAATATGATTTTTGACATCTTTATCAAGCGAATTTTGCTAAAGAGTTTAACTGTTGGAGAGAAAATAAATCTACACCATTAAATAACGTCAAAGTTTTTCAGAAAGTGAAAAAGAAAACGAAAAGATATGGAAGAAAGGCATACGATGTATCATGTATGCATAAAAGAATACGTCGAGCAATGGACCATATACTTCTACATCAGCAAAAGGAATCATTATCTTTAACCCAAGAAATTAAAAACGCCTTTAATTACATTCTCTTCTGGATAATAAGTACAAACCAGTCATTAGACGTCATTTCTTTTTGTAAAAATACTTTCGGAAAACTTATAGCATTTATTTCAGGTTACACTTGCCATATTTTTCACACCCATTTTTTTTTTTTACTTTTACTTGTTTTTCTTCTAAATATATTGTGTTCATTTAATCCCTTGTAATACCTCTATGTTTCTCTCCATCTAACAGTTTCTTCTTCACAAAACAAAAACCCAAAAGAAACCAATGCACTTGCGCGGAGGGGATATCATGATTTAGTTTTGTGGTATTTGTGATCCGCTTCGTTTTGCCCAGATAAAAAACTTTCAATCTTGTATCTGATCTGTAATTAATCGGATATCCGAATAGTAGATAATTAAATCTGAATATTTTACTGAAAATCCGATCCGCTCAGAATATAAATAAATATAAACATTAAAATTGCAAGGTTCATAAAAATCCTTATCGATTTGTTAATATTTAGTATTTAAATAATTTATTTTAGAAATATAAAATTATCGAAATTATATTTAGATATAATAATTATACACTTATATACATAATTCTATATATATATATATCTATGTATAACGGCGGAACCAATATCCGTCTTTTGAATTTTTTGTATTTGTGATTTGCTCTGTTTTTAACAGAGATCAATTTTTAGTATTTGCTTTGCTTACAGTTATTCAGATTTTTCAGATCAAATCGAAGCGGATACTGGCCGAAGCAAATCTGATGTTATGCCCCAAGCTACAATATCTAGTTCGTTTTTCACTTTGGAGGGAATTTTAAATAAAATATCATTGTGTAAGAAATATTTTGAATATATAAAAATCGAAAGCTAAATAACAAAAAGTGACTAAAATGAAAAATTAAAAGATGGAAAAGTAAGCGGCAAGGAAAATGCATAATGAAGATCGAGGACAGCTATGAATAGAAAAGCAAAATAACCGTTACATTTTTCTTTTGACATCAGATACTCCATAAATTTCTAGATAACTTTGAGTGGAATGGCCACATGGACAATCCGGTTTGGAATCAAAGAGTTTACATGAGAGAAAGACAAACCTCGTGTTCGAGTCTCTTTTAAAGTAAGCAGCAAGGAAAATGCACAATAAAGATCGAGGACAGCTATGAATAGAAAAGCAAAACAACCGTTACATTTTTTTCTTTTGACATCAAATACTCCATATATTTCTAGATAACTCCGAGTGGAATGGCCACATGGACAATCCGGTTTGGAATCAAAGAGTTTACATGGGAGAAAGACAAAACCTCGTGTTCGAGTCTTTTTGAGGGAAAATCGGCATGGACATTCGAACTACTTGGTATGAAAAGAAAATGAAAAGTTACTATAATCAAAACAACCGTTACATATGTAGAGAGATTAACCCAAAACCGTAAACAGATTTTATTTTATTAGATTGTACAATAAGCTAGATTATAATAAGTTTTTAGAAAATACAACTGAAATTACTTTCAAAACATTTGTAATCAACACAAACACACATACACAAAAAGTGAAAACAAAAGGGAGCTAAAGTGGCAGCACTATATCATCAATGCAGTTGATTTAACTCATATCAGTGCAATTGATTTAACTCATTAACACAGTTATGTTATTTTTATTACTGCTACACACATACATATGTGGATTAATTAGAGATATATAAAAAAAAAACTTAGTCAGAGAGATATAAAATATATATATTTTTATAAAAGTATGGATAAAATATTAATGAAGGTAAATAAGGGTTGGTTGGTGGAGTAGTAATGCAAAGATGAAATATGGACAGATCGGGGAATATGAACTAACGCTGTCTTCAACTCCTATATTGGCTACATGACGATCTCTTGATTATGATAGGAGTGAATTTTTAGAAACCCTCCAAAATCTATTTAATAGAATCATTTATTATATTGTAGGAGGATAATAAACACTCTCTTTCTTTCTTTTCTTTATTATTTTTTATTTTAACAATTTCAGTTATCATCTGTGAGTCATCGTTACAACATGAATGGATTCAATGCCTTGCAACAAGAATTTGGATCGAAAATTATATTTTCCAATATTTTAGTTATCTATATGCCATTGGTGTTTTGTTTTATGCTTTTGCATCAAATTTAGTTTTCCATATAAATTTGCAATTTTTTTTTTTGTTTTTTCGTTTTTGCAAAAAGACTAAACGTTAATGTGATGTTTTCTTCTATTTTGTCGCAACTATATTTCGGTTTACAGCGTCAAATATAAATAAATTCCAATTTAGCAAATATTACGCACAAGAATCAAAATGGTACCATGGAAGAACACATAAAACTGAGAGATCCAAATATCCAAGTTATGCAAAAGCCCATTTTCTCAGTATTGGACCCAAAACCAAAATTGCAAGCTTTGGCCTTTTGTGTGAGTAAGTTTGTAAATAAATAATATATATATATATATATATATATATATATATATATATAAAAGTTGTTCATCTCTTTCCAACTGATTGCCATGTCAACACGGGGAGAGATGAACACATTGCATTCTGTGCAGTGGCGTATCTAGCCAAAGTTTTGACAAGGTTAAACTCATATTAATCATTTTTTAGAGGGGTCAATAAGCTTATTTTATCAAATTTCATCATACTTTCTATATAAAATGTATGTAATTTTAAAAAAATACAAACTTCCCACGTCCGTTCATGCTAGCTCCGCCACTGATTCTGCATTTCTTTTTCTTTCTTTATTTCAATTTTTATTTCTCCTTTTCAAACTAAACCTACAAAAGTATATTTTGAACGATACATTAACATGACAATTATAAAAATAAATATCTGAATGAAAAAACATTGAATACTTAACCCGTAAAAATACACATAATAATTTATATCTAAAACCCATAAAAAATACACACAAACCCCAATAATATCAAAACATCCTATTTTTTATTAAAAAATAATGAAAATATATCTGAAATCCAGGAAAAAACTGAAAAACCTAAAAACAATTATACATATAATATCAAAAATAATCTATAATACTCATAATTCGGGTACCCGATCGGATATTGCTTCGGTCTGGATATCACCCGATATCCACAAGAACTAAATATTTTATACAATGGGCGATTTGATATATACCCATAACCAATTGATTATAGATGTAACATCCGTAAACCCAATAATTGGAAATTTCTTGTTGTGTCGAGCGACACAAAGGGTTTGTGTTGGTCGACACAGGTCCAAGATCCCAATTCCTGGTTCGATTTCAGTTGGTTTGGTCCGGTTAAGGGCCTAGAAACCCTGACTCAAGGTTAAAAGTCACCAGCCTCATGTTCTTCTTCCTTTTGTCGTTTTGTGAGCGAAGAACTTGAGGAGGAGAGATTTGAAGGCGATTCGGTGTTTGAGAGATCCATGTGAGGCTGTTCGTCGTCGATTAGGAGCATGGGTCGGTGCTGGTGGCTGTTGCGTAGTGTTTTCGCCGGTGTTCTTCATCACTGTACATCATCACATTCGTTTTCCCCCTTTTAATCCAAATTCGAGGTGAGTGTGTGACTGTAGGCTCGTGGTTGCGAGAATTGTTGTTATCTGCTTGATTGTGTGTTATTTTGTGGTCATATTGATGTTTGATTTCGTTGATTTGAGTTAATTAGTTGATTTCAATGTTTTGGTACTGTTCATTGCTCGTTCTCTGCGACCTGTAAATCGGTGTAGGACGACACATGCCGGTTCAGTATCGGTTTAAGCATATACATTACGATTTAATCGGGTTAATGGTCTAATTCGGAAATTAATTAATTATTGGTTAAATAAATTAATTAATGGGTCTAAATAGAAATTATTTTAAGTGTTAAAAATTATTATTTAACTATGAGAATTATTTAATAATTGAGAAAGTGGTATTTTTAATAATTCTTGAGAATATTCAGTATTATTTAATCGCATAGTAATTGCGTAATTGGCCTGTAGGCAGAGTGATCACCTCAGTAAGTATTTATTAAATGCTTACGCATCTCTTTCGCAATATGATGCAAGTAAAAGAAAAGTGTGATCGCGGAATCAAGACCGAAGAATGGGAGGATATAATTTTACTTGCTTTCGTTAATTGCTAGAACCTAGTGTTTAGGTTGCTAGATTATTTTATTGAATTTATTGTTTTACTTCTGCTGAATGCTGTTGATTTAATTATTATTTAATTAGGGTTATTCCGCACGAGGCATATTTTATAAAAAAATTTAATTTAGAATATAAATTGCTACTAATTATTATTATTTACTAATATTGATGTTTGGTGTTAATTTTAATCAGTAAATTACTGGCATATACAATATGAAAAGCAATTTAATAAATAGTTTTCTACCATATGAAGAACACAACAAATTTAAGATTAAGTTTTATAATTTTTTTTTGAAATTATTATTTTGCCTAGGCCTCTTAAAAATATCTATGTAAGTGTGATTAAACAAATGTGTTTATTTTCTAAGAAATCAATAGTGTTTTTGAATACTTTAAATTATTTGAAAGTGAACACTATTGTTAACAAAGACTTCAACATTATTTGGTTTTTTAACTGCAGTTATAGAAGAAGAAAATAAAGTTTATGAGAGTGAATAATTGTTACTTGATCCTAAGAGTTTTTTCTTTGTATTATATTGTTTACATTAAAAATATAGATAAATATCAAGAGTAAATATTTTATTTATAAGTTTTTGAAGTATAAATTATAAAATTTTGGCGGTAATATCATAAATGTGAGTTTGTAAATATTTTTTTTACGTCAAATATAATTTCATTCATTGAAAGGATTTTACAAGATCAGAATGCAAACATTCTGTTAACCACGTAGGTGGATACAATCGTGAACAATAAAACATACCATTTGGAGGAACATAACAGCATTATTCTCTCTTCTAGTAAAAATAAAACTACACTCTCTAAATTTTTGACTGCAACAATTGATATCCTAACAAATATTTTCAATATGAAAATCTTTGTGTTTTCAGTGTAGAGTATCAATCAAAATCTTGCAATCTCCTTCAAAAATCACATAGTCCAAACCCATAGCCCACGTTTGTTGCATTGCCACCAAAAGCGCCTTTGCTTCAGCCTCAAGAGGTGATGTTGTTGCTCCAAGAGAAGTCGTTCCCCATGAATGTGCTTTTCCTGAGTGATCTCTAGTAATCCAACCAGCTGAAGACTCTGTTGTATGAAGATTATAGCTTGCATCAAAACTACATTTGTGGTAACCTAATTGTGGACGCCGCCATGGTAACTGTTGCAAGCGCTGTGGTTGAGAAGAGGTCAAAGAAATTGAGTTTTTTATGGTCAATGAGTGTATCCATTCTTTGACATCTGCATTTGCCTGCTGAATAATAAACTGAGGAGGAGTTATTTGTTTCTTGAAGACAAGATTACATCTTGCCTTCCATATCCGCCAAACAAGCCAGAAAGGTAAGAGCTTTTGATAGTCTGTTAATCCCCGTATGTTCTGCAAATCTAATATTTTCTCAATTTGATCATCACAATTATCATCATGACGTGCTAGAGGTTGCCAAGGAAGTTGACTCATTCTCCAAACCATGACCGAATGTGGACATGTGAATAAAGTATGATTAATTGTCTCAGGAGATAAACAGCATCTTTGACACATTTTATCAATTTTCATTCCTCTAGTGATCAGTCTTGTTGCAGTAGCAAGAGCTTTTGATAGAATTCGCCATAGAAAGTGTTTTAATTTTGGCATAATTTGTAGTCTCCAAATCTGTTCTTTTAGTACTGGATCACCATGAGGAATAGTAAGGTCAGGATTGTTTTGTATTTGGTCATTGAAAGCTAACCAATAGTGGCTCTTAACAGAATATTCCCCTGATTTATCGTAGGACCAAACAACTCTATCTTCCTTCGTTGATTGAGGTAGATGAATCTTGTTAAGTAATAAACATTCATCAGCATTTAGCACCTCTTGTGCCAACTCCAAGTTCCAGAATTTCGAGTTACCAGACTTTATTATCAAGTCTTTCACTAAACGATCTCTCTGTTCTTCATGACAAGTAATTTTCCTTGGTGGTTGTGTTGGAAGCCAATTATCTTCGTACAAACGCACTGTTTCGCCGTCACCAATAACATGTCGAATTCCTTTTTATAAGAGTGTTAGTCCTGTAACAATTGAGCTCCATCCATAGGATTCATTCGCTCGATGCTTCCCGTCCAAGATAGATGTATCTTTATAGTAACGAGCTTTCATTAATCTTGCAAATAGAGTATTGGGATGTTTCAACAATCTCCAGGCTTGCTTTGCCAACAGAGCATCATTGAACTTTTGTAAGTCTTTGAAACCTAGTCCTCCATTCTTCTTAGAGAACTGTAGACGTTTCCAAGCCGCCCATGGGATGCCTCTGTTTCTGTCTCCTTTGTCCCACCAAAATCGCATTAGCAAAGAACTTATCTCCTCTGTTATGTTATTTGGTAATTTAAAACATTACATAGAGAAAACAGGCATTGCTACTCCAACTGACTTAATCATCACCTCCTTTCCAGCTTGAGATAAAAACTTTGCACTCCAATGAGATGTTCTTTGGTTAACTTTGTTGATAATGTTTTGGAACATATCTTTCTTCTTTCTACCAAATTGTTCTGGTAAACCCAGATATTTGCCTCCACCACCATGTTTGCTAATACCAAGAATGTCCTTAAGTCTTGCTTGTAGATCTCCTGGAATCCGAGAACCAAAAGTGATTGTCAACTTTGACGGATTGATTTGTTGACCCGACCAGTCTTCATAGCTTTTAAAGATGTTAAGTGCTTTACAATTTTTGTTGTTAGCTTGACAAAAAAATAGAGAGTCATCTGCAAATAGCAGATGAGATACAGCTGGAACACCATTACCAATTTTGATTCCACGGACTTTTCCAGCAATGGTATTGGATTGAATCAAATGGCTTAAGACATCTGCACATAAAATGTAATGATAAGGAGACAGTGGGTCTACTCACAGTTCATTCTCCATTCGATCAATCCTTGAGAAGGAAAAGTTGAATGGATCGAATTTCTTTGAATGGTACCGAAACCTGAGAATTGTTCTCAAACAGGAGAAAAAGGACTGTCTTGGAAAAGAAACTTCCTGAAAAAACCTAAGACAAATGCTCAACATGCAGAGAGGAATGCTTGGGAGAAACATTCCAATGATACGGTTGATGTGTGTTGTCTTATGTTGGCTACCATGAACTCGGACTTGCAGAAGCAATATGAGAACGTGGATTCGCCAATTGACATGATCACTAGCCTGAAGGGTATGTTTCAGGAGCAAGCACGAACTGAGAGATACTGATATACCTCTAATTTACCCACTTTTTATACTGTTTTAGCATTGTTTTCTAATGGTTTTTGGCAGGTTTTCTATCTAAAAAGGTAGTTTTACTGTGTTTATAGTGTCTAGAGTCTAAACAGGTGAAATGATGCATTTTGGAGCAAAACCATAGGATTTGCACTTCAAGCAGCTCCATGCACAAGCACCAACTTTAAGAGGGCCCAGAAAAAGATCTACTCAATGGATTTCATCAAGACCAGTTCCCTGCGTGCTCTGATTGAGTTAACTTTCCAACGCAACTGGAATGGCCTAATTTGGATGAGTAGAAAAGGAGTTACAACCAAAAGAGTGAAGACTGTCCAGACGGCTCTATCGAGAATCAGCGCCCAACCGCGCAGTCCGGCTGGCCGAGAAACATGTTCCGCGCTCGGCCAAAGTCATATCCGTCCGTCTGAAGTCTCGGCCAAAGTCCAAACCGACCGGCCGATCACGCAACACGACCCGGGAAACATTGTCCCGCGGTCGGCCACGCACAACGCACGCCACGCCGCGCACGACCAAAGCCGCGCGAGCCGGGAACAAGCCTCGCGGCCGCGCAACCCGTTCGCGTACCACGGCCGATGCATCCGTCCGAGCCGGGAAAGAACGTCCCGCGTCCGGCCGAGAACATCGGCCAAATCTCATCCGCCGACCACGCCGGCCGACCGTGAATCCATCCGGCCACGACCGTTCCGACTCGGCCACGACCCGACTGTCCGGCCGATCGTCCCGACCGACCGTCCCAACGCCGCGGTCGACCCGAAGCCCGTTTTGAAGCCCAAACTTTCATATTTTCAAGCCCGGCTTAACCCTAAGCCGCCTCTAAAAGACCTAGCACTATATATATATTTTTAGCCTCTTGTGAAAGAGAGCCGCCCTTGTATTTCGATTTCCTACTCTAAGTTTTATTGCAATCATGTTTTCTTCATCTCTATGTGTGTTTGCTTTGATCATGTCTGAGTAATCCACTAGTTAGGTTGCTAGGGTTACTATTCAATGAGTTGCTTGCATGATCTTTGATTTCAATGATTAGCTAGGGATTATATTAGAGTCTTTGTCTCGTCTTGTGCACTTAACTAATGCTGATTGCTTTACCGCGCATCTAGTAATCCGATCTTAGGTTGATTTGAGCCTCGACAGTGCTGTATCATTCGCCGGACATATTCTTTGACAAGCTAGGTTTCTTAGACTGCGAAAGTTGATCTATCTATATCTAGTGAACTGTATCAGAACCTATTCATTCTAATGCTTGATCTAATCACCTAGGGACATACCAAAAGTTTAGCGACTAGGTAGATTAGCAAAGGAGCCGGAGCCTCGAAAGTGGAATGGTTTTATATTCGTGATCTGTGTTCTAGATGGTTCTTAATATCCCAATATCCCTAATCAATTAATCTATCATTGTTTCATTGATCATTGCTTGCTTCTCTGCGATAGCCCCTATGACCTAGCGCTTTTCCTTTATTATTTACAACCTCGTTATACTTGCTAGTTCGGTTCACCATTACAACCTCAATCATACTTTTGTTTTAGCTTGATCCAAAATCCATAGTTACAAAGTGTACTCAATAGCCAGTCCTTGTGTTCGATACCCATACTTCCGCGATCTGTGCACTTGCAGAGGTCTAGGAGTTTGGTAAAACCTGACTCCGCATCAAGTTTTTGGCGCCGTTGCCGGGGACTGCAGCAGTACCTTTGGAACTCGACTAGGATCTAGTCTAGAACCTTTTCCTGTTTTACTTTTCTTTTGCTTTTGAATTTTTAGTTTTTGATTTCCTTTTCTTTGATTTTTGCTTTTGTTTTTGTTTTTCCCTTTTGATTTAACTTGTTTCCAAGACTCTTTTCAGGTGCATGACTAGGAGGTCCAACAAGGACAACCTAGTTGAACATCCAGAGATAGACAAGCTTGAGAAGCAACTTAGGAAGCAAAAGCCCAAGAGATGGCCGACGAAGCAGCTCGCGCTCACGCCGCTGAAGTGGCGCGCGCTCAAGAAGAAGGAAGAGATCCACCTCCTCCTCCTCCTAATCCACAAGACCCTGCTGGAGATGTGAATGCACAACCCAAGCTGGAGCACCTACAATCGGAGACTATGACTCTGCCGATGCTTTCTTCATGGATAGAAACCCTATCCATCCACCACTTCCTGCAAGGAATGACTATGAGATCAAGCCTCAGATCATTGCATTGGTTAGACAGAACCAATTCAATGGACTTCCAGCTGAGCACCCTCTTGATCACATAGAAAACTTTGAAGAAATTTGCAGCACTACAAGATCCAATGGAGTCTCTGCTGACTACCTTAAGTGCAAGCTCTTTTCATTCTCTCTTGGCGACAAAGCTTCAAGATGGTTGAAGTCTCTGCCAGCTCACTCCATCACCACTTGGGATGAGTACAAGGCTGCATTCATCAACCACTTCTACACCAAACAGAGATCAATTTCTGTGAGAAACAAGATCTCCACTTTCGCCAAGCAACAATGAATCTTTCTATGAGGCGCTAGATCGATTCAAGGAGTACATTAGGGACTGCCCTAATCATGGTTTCAATGAGGGAAACCTATGGAACATCTTCTATCGTGGCATAGACCACAAGTACAAGCTTTCATTGGACACTGCAAGCAATGGAAACTTCATGACCAAGACTGTTGATGAAGCTAAGGTTCTTATTGAGAATCTTGCAGCTAGTGATTGTAACAACTGTCCTGATTATGACCGCTCAAGCCGCACCACTACTAGCTCCCCTGATTCTTTTCAAATGACTGAACTCAAGAACATGATGGCTCAAGTTCTTAAGGGACAGCTCAAGCATATCAATGCAATAGAAGGGATGAGTGATGCTAATGAAGATTCATCAAGAGAATGCATGGGAGATTTCTCTAATGAAGCCAATGAAGAAGATGTGAACTACATTGGAAACTATGGGAACAAGGGATACAATCCAAGCTATCGCCCAAACCCCAACATGTCTTATAGAAACCCCAATGTGGAGAATCCTCAAGACCAAGTGTATCCTCCAAGGTATCCACAACAACAAAGACCTCCTTACCAATCTCAAGGAAGTCAATTTCAGCCAAGGCAAGGATATGAGCAGAGATCATCATATCCGCCCAAGGAGCCATATGCTTCTTCACCAAATCAAGCTCCTCCAAACCAACAAGGTGGGAGATTTGAAGGAATCCTCCAACAGATCATGGATGGCCAGAAGAGAAACACTAAAGAGATGTATGAGAAGATGGACACTTTGTTCAGCAATCTCAACACCAAGTATGATGCTGTTGCCACTCATGTGAAGAAACTAGAGACTCAAGTCACTCAAACTATGGAAGCTGTTAAGAGACAGGAAGCTGAATCCAAGAAGTCCTTTTGCAACTCAGCCGCCATAGAAGAAAGATTTGAAGACCAAGTTCCAGAATGGATGCTTTCAAAACCTACTGTTGATTGCATGATTTGGCCTGAAGAGAATTACCCAGAGAGAGAGTCCAATCGAGCTAGAAAGAGAAGACTCTTCCCAAAGATTATCCCCAAGACAGATAACTCAGGAAAGTTTGTGTGCCTTGTATCATCAAAGGTAACATTCTTGAGCAATCTTTGTGTGACACAGGAGCCAATGTGAACATCATGTCTAAGAGGATAGCTGACAAGATAGGCCTCACCAAGATAGAGCCATCATCCATCTCCATCAACTATGCTGATTCATTCTCACAAACCCCTATGGCTTTGTGCCTAATGTGATGGTGCAGATTGGAAATTGCTCTATCCCTACTGATTTCCAGATTGTGGAAATGAGAGAGAGTAGCCATAGACCTCTCATATTTGGAACCCCTTTCCTGTCTACTGTGGGTGCCATATTTGATTTCCCCAATCAAAGAATCTCTTTCAACAAGGTGAACAAGGGTATGTTCTTCCCTATGTGTTCAACAAAGAACTCTTTTGTTGACATGGTCCAAGAGGAGAAAGCTACTTTGAAGCCACCCCAAGAAGGAGAAACTGAAGAAACAATCAAGGAAGATCCCATTCCTAAGCCCAAGCAGCTTGCCAAACAAGCAAGGAGTAAGACTAAGGCCCCTACACCAAAACCGCCCAAGGGATCAACCAAGATTGAAGATGAGGCCAAGCCAAGAAGGAAGGTTAGAAAACCTAGGTCTGGCCGCAACATGAAGCTTCTATTCCCAAAGGAGCTTATTGATGAGAATCTAGAAGGATTCAAGGAGAAAGTGACAAGAACTCTAAAGCTTTTTCCTAAGGCAGTAGTGCCAAGGGACATTCATGGAGAGATTGTCTATCCAGCTGTGAATCACCCACCAGATACTCATTGCAAGGAGAAAAGACTTGGAGGATCAAGGATGCCTCTTGTCTCCATCTTCTCCTGAGCGCCAAGCCTTACAGTCAAGCTAAAGACTTAAAACAAGCGCTGCATGGGAGGCAACCCATGAGGTACTTTTACTTTTCTTTCTTTAATTTTCTTAGTTTTTGTTTTGCTTTTGTGTTTTCTTTGTTTTAAGATAGGATAGAAGGAGAAAAAGGTGTGAAAACACAATCCGCGCCAAAACATTGGCCGCGGACGCGCAAAGAGAATTTTGGCCGAGCAATTTCCAATCTGGCCGACCGTCACGGTCGAGCCGGGAAGGAATGCGTGCTCGGCCGGATTGATCTATCGCGCGACAAAACGTTCGCGCACGCACGAACCGGGAAAGAAGGCCGCGATCGGCCGAAATTTTGTATCGGAACGGACCGACCGTGCCGGTCGATCCGGGAAACAAACGATCGGCCTCGGCCGAAATCTCTCGGCCACGAAAATTTGGCCGACCAAATCGCTCGACCGCGACAAAATCGGCCATCGGCCAAAACTTTTCTCGGCCAAGGTACACAATGGCAAAGACAAAAGGAAATGAGAGTATGAAGAAGAAGAAGAACCCATTCATGGAACCACCAAAGAAACAAATCAAGCTAGGGAGTAGTAGCTCCAATGCAAGAGCAGCAATACCAACTTCACCACATTCCATTGATGCAATCAAGAACATGTGGAGAGTCCAACAAGAGGAGAAGATGATTGGGCACTTGTAACCTTTGTTGGAGAACAAAATCAAGACCCAAGAAAGTGTAAGAAGGCAATGGAGAAGGTGAACATCGAGCCATGTGTGAAGATGGACACCCAAACCCTTGATCTTCTCAAGATAAGAGATGATGTCACATGGTACATAAGGAAGCTAGGCTTGAGCAAGCTCTTCAAGCTAGAGTGTAGTGAGTACTCACAACTCACCAAGGAGTTCCTCTCCACAGTAGCTCTTGCCTTTCCCAACCACAATGGAGACCAACCAGCTGGTGATGGACTCCTACTCTTCAAGATAGGCGATGCCAATGGGCGCATCTCATCTCAGCTCTATGCCAACTCTTTGGACTTCCCAATGAGACAGCACATGACTTCAAGGAGAACTCAAAGAGGAAACAAGCTGCCTTTGCTGATTGGACACACTTTGCCAATGAACCATTCTTGCCTTCAAGGTCAAAGGTGTCTAGAATCACCCATCCAGCCATTCGCTATGTGCACCGCCTCATCTCCACCACTTTCCAATGCAAACAAGAAGCCAACAAGGTCACAACTGATGAGTTCTACATCCTCACCACACCATTCATCAAGCATGAGTACAAGGCCAACCTTGGACTTTTACTTGCCAAGACATTATCAATGTGAGGAAGCTAGCTCAAGACTTGGAAGGCAACAAGAAGCTTTGTGTTCGTTTTGGGAGGCTTATCACGGCCATAGTACTGCATGTGGGGATTGACATTCCCAACTATGAGCCACTACCCAAGCCAACCCCTTTGGATCTCCATGCTCTTCAGCACATCCACTTCCTAAACCGTTGGACTAAAGACCCAACTCGGTTTTGCTATGAGTTTCCAATTGGTCCAGCCAACACTTCCCTTGTCTTGCTGCCACATGAAGACATCCCAAGCCTACGCTCAGGAGTTGTCACTTTCCAGCCCAATGAGGAAGACTTCTATGTTCCATCAAGTGAGAAACCATCATTCCCCATGCTCACCTATCGCACACTTCAGCATGCAGTCAAGACTCAACGCCGCTCCAAGAACGCCATGTTCTCACTACTGGCATGGCGCGCACCAAGCTCTAGACCGTGTTAACAAGCTGGAGAAGATAGTGGAATGCCAATCTCGCTTCATCTCACGCCTAGTCCGCGTAGTTCGCCACATTGCACCGGAGAGACTCTTTCGCCCTTCTTCCACCGCTAGAGAGCCATATGAGCCTGACCTTGGTGAGTTCTCACTAGACTCAGAGCTTGGTTCAGAAGGCGATGACCCCATAGATGAGGAAGAGAGTTCTTCTCACTGCCACACATAGTCATCTCAAGTGGTACTTAGTGCAATGGACACTTACAAATCTCCATTTTCTATCCCTATCTTATTTTAATGAATTTTTCTTTATTTTTCTTTTACTTTGAATATTACCTCTCACCTTAATGTGATTTGCTTTCACCGGGACGGTGCAAGTTAAGTCTGGGGGGAGTTTTATTGTGTTACTAATGCATTTTTCTTTCTTTTCTTATGTTTTATTCACTTTGTTTCATGTTTTTCAAAAAGTTTTATTGAGTCAAAAACCAGTCCGGAAGTTATGAACTTGCTTTGAGAATTGAGAGTGTTGTGCTAACAATCCATGACCCTAGAGCAGAAACCAGCTAAAGGCACAAGCCTAACAGAAGCTCTTACAGTGGATCGACATGCTAGCTCAGCAAAATTTCTAAGGTAACCAAGCAATCTAGAGTTAACCTCACCCTTAATCAATCTTAATACTCTTGTCAAGGGGATTGGCATACATGTCGACAGTTCCTTGCTTGATTTTCAATAAGATTTGTCTAATCTTTAAAGAGTTCTCCTCTCTCTCCCATCCCAAATGGTAAGTAATGTTTATGAGAAAAAGCTCAAAGAGCACAAGGAAAACAAGTAAGCATGAGGAATGCATATGTCTGTACCTTCATGTCTTATGGAATACCTTAGTCAAACAAGGAACAAGCTAAAGACTTATCCTGTGGTTGAAAGAAGGGTCAATAGAAAAAATAAAATGATACCCTAGAAAAGTAGGGAGAAATTGACCTTTCAAAGTTCTGATGTGAGAAAGAGAGAGGAAAAGAACTCATTGCACTTAAAGACAATCTTGGAGAAGATCAAGTGGGTAAGAACAAGTTCAATTGATCGATGTCCCCTTGATAAAGAATTCACGCTTTAAATTTATGCAAGAGGTTAGCAATAGAGAGTTTGGATTGCTGGATGAGACTAGTTGGGTTGGTATTGTTCGCTAAACTTGCAGGGTGTATGTGAAGCTAACCTTATGTTGTCTATGTTCTTAGTGGAATACAGGAAAGGAACCTTTCACAGGATATTCAAAAGAGCAAGGGAGTTTCCACGTTTTCAAACCTCTTTCACGGATTTAGATTCTTTTTGCTTGAGGACAAGCAAAGATCTAAGTCTGGGGGAGTTGATATACCTCTATTTTACACTTTTTATACTGTTTTAGCATTGTTTTCTAATGGTTTTTGGCAGGTTTTCTATCTAAAAAGGTAGTTTTACTGTGTTTATAGTGTCTAGAGTCTAAACAGGTGAAATGATGCATTTTGGAGCAAAACCATAGGATTTGCACTTCAAGCCGCTCCATGCACAAGCACCAACTTTAAGAGGGCCCAGAAAAAGATCTACTCAATGGATTTCATCAAGACCAGTTCCCTGCGTGCTCTGATTGAGTTAACTTTCCAACGCAACTGGAACGGCCTAATTTGGATGAGTAGAAAAGGAGTTATAACCAAAAGAGTGAAGACTGTCCAGACGGCTCTATCGAGAATCAGCGCCCAACCGCGCAGTCCGGCTGGCCGAGAAACTATGTTCCGCGCTCGGCCAAATCATATCCGTCCGTCTGAAGTCTCGGCCAAAGTTCCAAACCGACGGCCGATCACGCAACACGACCCGGGAAACATTGTCCCGCGGTCGGCCAAGCACAACCACGCCACGCCGCGCACGACCATGCCGCGCGAGCCGGGAACAACCCTCGCGGCCGCGCAACCGTTCGCGTACCACGGCCGATGCATCCGTCCGAGCCGGGAAAGAACGTCCCGCGTCCGGCCGAGAAACCATCGGCCAAATCTCATCCGCCGACCACGCCGGCCGACCGTGAATCCATCCGGCCCGACCGTTCCGACTCGGCCACGACCCGATGTCCGGCCGATCGTCCCGACCGACCGTCCCAACGCCGCGGTCGACCCGAAGCCCGTTTTGAAGCCCAATTTCATATTTTCAAGCCCGGCTTAACCCTAAGCCGCCTCAAAAGACCTAGCACTATATATATAGCTTTTTAGCCTCTTGTGAAAAGAGAGCCGCCTTGTATTTCGATTTCCTACTCTAAGTTTTATTGCAATCATGTTTTCTTCATCTCTATGTGTGTTTGCTTTGATCATGTCTGAGTAATCCACTAGTTAGGTTGCTAGGGTTACTATTCAATGAGTTGCTTGCATGATCTTTGATTTCAATGATTAGCTAGGGATTATATTAGAGTCTTTGTCTCGTCTTGTGCACTTAACTAATGCTGATTGCTTTACCGCGCATCTAGTAATCCGATCTTAGGTTGATTTGAGCCTCGACAGTGCTGTATCATTCGCCGGACATATTCTTTGACAAGCTAGGTTTCTTAGACTGCGAAAGTTGATCTATCTATATCTAGTGAACTGTATCAGAACCTATTCATTCTAATGCTTGATTTAATCACCTAGGGACATACCAAAAGTTTAGCGACTAGGTAGATTAACAAAGGAGCCGGAGCCTCGAAAGTGGAATGGTTTTATATTCGTGATCTGTGTTCTAGATGGTTCTTAATATCCCAATATCCCTAATCAATTAATCTATCATTGTTTCATTGATCATTGCTTGCTTCTCTGCGATAGCCCCTATGACCTAGCGCTTTTCCTTTATTGTTTACAACCTCGTTATACTTGCTAGTTCGGTTCACCATTACAACCTCAATCATACTTTTGTTTTAGCTTGATCCAAAATCCATAGTTACAAAGTGTACTCAATAGCCAGTCCTTGTGTTCGATACCCATAGTTTCAAAGTGTACTCAATAGCCAGTCCACGGCCGATGCATCTGTCCGAGCCGGGAAAGAACGTCCCGCGTCCGGCCGAGAAACCATAGGCCAAATCTCTATCCGCCCGACCACGCCGGCCGACCGTGAATCCATCCGGCCACGACAGTTCCAACTCGCCCACGACCCGACTGTCCGGCCGATCGTCCTGACCGACCGTCCCAACGCCGCGGTCGACCCGAAGCCCGTTTTAG